AGAATGTTGCACAAAGGCATAGGCTACTTGGGTATTCCCATGGGAGAGGAACCAACGCTGAGCCTCAGTTTTTCCCTCTGAGAAGTGCAGATGCTGACTGCTCTCTGGTTGATCTCATCAAATAAGATGATATGAGTACCAGGGCTTTGTAAAGTGCAGAACACCAAGCAAACCTATGTTATACTCCATGACCGGCCTCTGATATTCCCAATGAGAAGGTGTTAACTCAGGCATCTCTTGTTCTCCCAGACAGAGCAGACTCATTGGCTGCATGAGCTTTGGGGTGAAGTCCCTCCTGACTCCGGACAAGGTGGGTCCTAGGAAAGCTGCTGATGAGATCATCCAGTTGGGATAGGCAGGAGGGACGCTTATCTGGAAGCCCTTGGGCAGAGTCTCTGTCTGTGAGATGATGCCCCTCTGAGACACGTGCCCAGTGGCCTGAATAACCACTCTGTGTTGGTCACCTGCCTGACTGAGGAGGGCTTGGGTCCCTTTCTTGGTTGGCTTTTGTCTGAGAGAAATTGTCAGCTGGTCCAAAGTCCTCCCAGAAGGCTCTGGGTCTGGTGTCTGCCAGTAAGGACACTGGCAGGTCCCTCGGGGTTCAGAGCACGCCTGGGCCTGCCCTGGAGAAGAAGGGCCAGGTGCTTCTCATGGCCTGCCCCAGGGGTCCCTTATGTCATCTACCAGGTCTCGTGTTTCTGGGGCTAGCAAGCATGGCCTCGGGGCTGGAGGGAGCAGCACCATCCTCTGCCATGCTTTCCTTCAGCCTGCGTGAGGCTCTGTGGGGTCTTGAGACCACTCCCTCTGGGTGGCCAATCCTGTATCTACTCTGCACTGACCAGCGTTGTGTCCTGGTGGTGAACTCTGGGAGGCAGTGATGGAGGGCCCTTTTACCCATGTGTGGGTCCCGATTATCTTCTCTTAGCTGCAGCCTCAGCTTCACTCCCCTGGGGAGAAAATGTTCCCCCATGGGGACTGCTTAGGAGCTTCAGGGTGTCTGCTTTCAGGTCTCCCTTCTATTCTTCTAGCAAGCATTTATTGGGCTCCTGCAGTGTCCCAGGCTCAGTGCTAGGCACACCGTGGAGCCTGTGCACAGCCTAGCAGGGGAGGCAGGCCTGCAAATAGACGGTTGCCCCCCAGGATAAGCGGCTGTGGGGATTTGGTGCAGGGGAGGACCAGCTTTGCCTGGGGCATCAGGGAGGGCAACCTGGAGGTGCTGGTGTAGGAGCCTTCCAGGCAAGGTGGTTGACTTGACGTGTCTGTCTCTAGAGATACTGCTCCCGAGGGGGCACCTTCAGCTGCTGCCCCTTGTGGGGTTCGGTGGCTGCCTGACCTGTGCTGTCTGCCCCCTTTGTCTGAGCACATCACCCTTCTCTCGTGACAGGAGATCAGCGGCTGGTACTACCTTCTGGGGGAGGACCTGGGCAGGACCAAGCACTTGAAGGTGGCGAGGCGGCGGCTGCGGCCCTTGAGAGGTGCATGTGCCCCTCCTTCAGCTTCTGCCTACACACGCTTCCCTTCTCAAGCCCCCTGAGCTCCCCCTTCCTGGGAAGTGGCATCCATCCCTGTGTTTTGGGGCTCTTGTCAGCCCCGGCTTGATCAAGCTTCAGGGTCCAGGAATAACTTCTCATGAGTAGCCTGCAGAGCATGAAGGTGGCAGGGAGCCTCTCACCTGTGACACCTTTATTTATATGGTTAGATTTTCCTAACGTGCGGACGGCACTGCCATCAAGTCGATTCTGACTCATAGAAACCCCTCCTTTGGTTTCTGAGGCGGTATCTCTATGGAAGTAGATGGCCCAGTCTTCCTTCCGAGGAGTGGCTGGTGGGTTTGAACTGCCAGCTTTCTGGTTAACAGTCAAATGCCTTAGGCACTATGCTACCAGAGCTCTTAGACTTTCCTAGGAGAGGGCTATGGACTTGATCCCACATGATTGGGCAATCCCTACCCTTCACTGAGGGAGGGCTGGGCTTGAAAGCTTCTGGAATGGCCCCAACCCAGGCTGTGTGGTCTCAAGGTTCCCTCTTGATGGCCTTGCATCAAGGGGACAAACTCTGCATCAGAGATCCAGTTCTTGCCCATTCCCACCTCGTGGGCAAGGCATTTTAGACCCTGTCATGAGTCCTAAGGCTCGGGACTCGGATTTTGCACCCTCTTTAGTTTTGTTTTTCTTGCATGCAGTTCTGCCTGGGCTGAGCCTTGGGCCTCCTCACACCCGGAAGGCCAGAAGTGGCCTGGGCAGCTACCTCTGTGCTCCCAGCCTTGTCCTCCAGGTGGCCTGTGGAATGGTCCTTCCATGCCAGCAGAAGCTTTCTGACTCTGCTCTGTCACCTTGCAGACCCGATGCTGAGAATACCAGAAGGTGCGGATGCTGAGAACGGAGACAAACTCCAGGTATGTGCGGACAGCCCTGGGTGGGGCTGATGGCACCGGGGCATCCCTCCTGTCAGTGCCTTGCCCCAGGAGACCCCTAAGCAGGGCAGCGTTTAGCGTCTGAGACTGGGGTCACTCTGTACTTAGAAACCCAACAAGTCTTGGATTCTGAGGGGAGTCTTTCTTGATTTTCCTAATGTGTGCTATAGTGAATGAGTGTTTTCCTTGGGTCATTCACTCTCAGGGCAGGAGCGGGGAGAGAGCTGGCTTCATCTGGGCGTGGAGGAGCCTGGACCTTCCTGACCTTCAGCCTCTAGAAGCCCATAGGCCCCGTCAGGCTCCCTGCTTCCCCTAGCACTGTGGCCGGACCACCCCTCCTGGTATCAGGGAGCAGCCGTGATTCTGAACCTGAGACCAGTGGATTTTCACTCCATTAGGGACTTTCCCATAGGGATTTGAGCGATTTCTCTGGAATTCATTCCATCCCTTTGCAGGGTGTGGCAGGTGATCCACAGTTTTCTCTAACAACTAAGAGAGAGAAAAACAAACTCCTGGTGACTGACTGATTGAATAGCCACTCTGGGCCAGGGCTATTATTTTTTATTTGATCCTCACAGTCACCTCTGAAAGGAGCTCTGGTGGTGTAGTGGGTAAGGCGTTTGGCTGCTAACCCCAGGGTTGATGGTTCACACCCACCAGCCGCTTGATGGTTCACCTTCCACCAGGAGGAAGATGAGGCAATCTACTTCCATAAGGATTTACAGCCTTGGAAACCCAGTAGAGGTCATGATGAGTCAGAATCAACTCAATGGCAGTGGGTTTGGTTTTTTTTTTTTGGCTGAGGTGATGACTGCTTCTTCAGTTTGTAGATGAGAGTCATGTTAGATTCAGAGACGTTAGGTCACTCGCCAGGGCCACAGAGTCAGCAGTGGGGGAAGCAGGACCCAGAGGAGTCTGTTGGACCCCTAAGTGCACTACGTACACCATGCTACCTCCTGGGTGTGACCCAGTTGGGCAGATATGGCATTGATATTTTCAATAACACTATCTTGCAGTCTTACAGATAGGTATATTATAATCCACAAAACATTTTCCCTTTCATTTACTCAATTCATTTATTCACTCACTCATTCACTCATTAAATATTTACTGGACACCTATGTGGGTCAGGTCCTGTGCTGGGTGTTAGGATGCAGTGATGAATAAGCCCATGATCCCAGCCTTCATGGAGCTCACGGTCTAGAGCCGTGTTGTCCAATATGGTAGCCACAAGCTCCCTGTGGCTACTGAGTACTTGAAATGTGGCTAGTGTTGCTGAGGAAGTGAATTTTAATGTAATTGAATTTTAATCCTTGAAATTTACTTTGGCACATGTGAGTAAGTGACTGCCTTACCAGACGGTGCAGTATTAGAGTAACTTGCCAAGTCTGTTATCTGTGGCTTTGTTAGCCCAGTGGACGGTGGAAAACGCTCCCCTGGCCTCAGGGGTGTTGCTGCAAAGACATCTTTCTCTCTCTCTCTCTGTTCTTACTGAGCAGAGCAAGGATGGGATGGCCCCAGCCCAGGCTATGTCGTCTCAGGGTTCCCTCTTGATGGCCTTGCATCAAGGGGACAAAGTCTGCATCAGGGAGTTTCTGGGGCTGATTTGTGGGGATTTGTAGGAAAATCCTGTCTCATGATGGATTCTGCACACAGGCCCTGGGACCCTGGGCCATTGTTCTGGGGTGCACTTCATTTCCTAGCTTTGCACACTCAGATGTCAGGAGGCTTGGCCATTTGGGGGTGATTGTCAGAGGCCTGGCTGGGGCTAGGGGAGAGGTCACCTTTCAAATCCCTCTTTGTGCAAATGAGGGAGGTCCAGAAACCTGGGTGACCTGTCCACGGTCACACAAAAGTAGGGCTGGTCCAAGGGATGTTCTCTGGCATCAAGGATGTGAGTGGGTGGGCTCTGAGGGGGTGCAGGAGGGAAGGGACCTACTATCCTGCTGTACCCGACGAGATCGGGGGGCTGCAAGCCAGGACACAAGAACTAGGTTCTGGTCCTAGCAATGCCACTATGTTGCCGTGTGACCTCAACCACTCTGGGCCTCAGTTTCTTCATCTGTAAAATGAGAAGCCCGGGCCATCTGATGATTTGGAGATCCTTTTTAGAGTTGATGTTATGGCTTACAGACCAGCATCGTCTTAAAGCAGCCCAGCATATGGATGAGGAAACTGACTTTTGGGTCACTTCTGGGGCAGGCAGGTCCTGGGTCTGCAAATGTTTTGTGCTCCTTGCCTTAAGATGAGATGTTTGTGGGTATAGCCCCGTGGCATCTGTGGATTCTTTAGGCTGGGTCAGTTCCCTGCATTTGCTACCAGACGCCCTGGGACTGGCAAGGGGAGGTGGCGTGTTTTCTGCCTGGGTTCTCATCCAGCAAGGGGTGTTTGTGAGAACATTGGAATCACAAAGTGGCCCATGGCGGAGAATGCAGCCAGAACAAAGACGCCCTCTCCCCGCCGGGGCCTGGGGAATACTAACTAGTTGACAGGAATTTTAATATAAAACTCTCCCTCTTCCTTGTCATTCTGAGGTTTCAGGAAGCCTTCGGGCTTATCGTGCAGAGGCACACAGTGCAGACAGGGCTTGGGGAGGTGAGAGGTGATTTCCTGCCATTCTTCTGCGGGGCGGGCTTCCCAGGGCGGTCATGCCAGGCTGACGGGGCGCAGTGCGGGCTCCCGCTGCTGGGGGAGAGCTGGGTTTTCATGGGGTAATAGCTGAGGCAGGACCTGCAGCCATGAACCGCTTCAATGGGCTCTGCAAGGTGTGCTCAGAGCGCCGCTACCGCCAGGTGGGTGCTTGGCCCTTTGGGAGGTCATGGGCGGGGGCTCCATGAGCAGGATCCCTCCCCACTCGGCTCCCTGTAGGGTCCTTTTGATCTAGGAGGGGAGTGGAGGCAGCAGTTGGACCCAGGGTTCCCCCTGCTACCACTGCCCCTCTCTGGGAGAGACAAGACCCTCCTCTGTGAGTTGTCCTAACTGGGTGGGGTATTGATGTTGATATTCTCTTTATTTTTATTTAAGGGGATGTGGGTTTAAGAAGACAGCCCTAGCCTGACACTGGAAATGGCTTGGCTGCTGAGCAGCTGCCTGTTTCTTGAGGGAGTTTGGTGTATTTGCTAACTTGGTCTCCTACTTCTGATGGGATGGCCCTGCCAGCCTGGTCTGCGTTCTCTCTCTCTCTCTCTCTCTGTTTGTGTGTGATGTGTGAGTGTCTGTGTATGTATTGGTGGGTGCTTGTAGGCGAGATACAGTGTTTTCCTCTGTAGCCCTGATGTCTTGAGGAGGCTCAGGATTCCTTTGGCTTTGGAGCCCAGTTTCCCCGAGAGGGTTTGGCCTCTTGGCCTCCAGACTTGGAATGTGGGACAGAGCGGGTTGGGGAGTCAGCCCCAGATGCCTTCTGAAACTGTGATGAAACTTTTTTTTCTTGTGAAGAAGGAATGGGGTCAGAGAGGGTGAAGGCAAGGGGAGCCAGATTTGGGGTCTGGGGAACGCCTGTGCTGGAAGGGATCTCAGAAATGGTTCTGATTTTTTAAATATGGAACGATCCTGTTGCTCATCCCAGTAAGCAGTGGGAATCTGGGTTCCTGACTCCTTCTGACGTGCAATGCTTAGGTCACAGAGAGGTCCCCAGAGGGGCCTCCTGCCCCCGGCACCCACCTGATATGGAGGCCCAGTGTTCTACCTCTAGCCCTCCCAGCTCTCAGGTCCTGCCCTGCACACCCCCCTCTGTGTTCCCTGCCCTCCAGGCCAGAGCAGCCCTTGAGACATGAGCAGTCAGGCAGAGAGAACACTGGACGAGAAGTCTAGAAGTCCTCGGTGACTTTGGGACTCTGGGCCAGAGGGCCAGGGCACAGCTGGGCATCAGAGTGGGGCCAGGCCTGACTGTGGGCTGGATCTGGGGATCTGGAAGCTAGAGTTCAAAGCGGACCCTCGGTTAGAAAGCAGCGCAGTGTGGAGGGCACCAGCTTTCTGTCAGACCTGGGTTCGAATCCAGCCCTGCCCTCCTTAATGGTGACTTGTGAGCAGGTCACTTTACTCTCTGAGCCTCAGTTTTCTCATCAGTAAAACAGGGATAGTACATCCGGTAATAATGCCCCAAGAGCAAACGAACTGATGTGTAGGAAGTGCCTGGCACGGTGTCTGGGATGGGCATGGAGACCCAATCAACGGGATGGAAGTCTAGGCCTGACTGAGGATCAGAGACTAGGCTGGGAGCAGAAATGAGGTGCTGGCACAGTGACACTAGGGAGCAGCAACAGTTCTTCCCTGGACAGGAATGAGCAGGAGCCACCCTCAGGAAGAGCAGCCTCTGTCAGGAGCCGTGAGGTCCCCGACTCGGGACAGGGCTGCTCCCTTCATCTCCTGAACGGGGGGCTGCCACTTTCTTACCTCAGTTTTCCTTCTCTGTAAAATGGGCATATAAAACCAGCCCTGCCTTCCTCTGAGGAGCTCTGGTAGCATAGTGCCTAAGGCACTTGACTGCTAACCAGGAGGCTGGTGGTTCAAACGCAACAGCCATTCCTTGGAAGGAAGGTTGGGCAATCCCACTTCCGTAGTGATACTGCCTCGGAAACCCAAGGAGGGGTCGCTATGAGTCGGGGCCGACTCGATGGCAAACAACAACAACAACAGCCTTCCTCTGCGGGCAGAAGTAATAACGATCAGGGACTTCGGACAATGTCCTCTTGCTGTGGTCATTGCTCACAATGGGCAGAGTGTAATTCTGCTTCCTTCACTGAGTTGTACCCCCTCCTGTGGAGCCAGGAGATGAGCTCGCTCCTTCACACCTCTTCCCTCCTCCCACCCCCTAGCTGGGTTGGCTCTTCCAGGCTGGTGCTCAGGAGGGAGGCGGGGGCTCCAGTACACAGTTCTGCCTGGATGAGGGAGGGGGCCAGGGTGTGGGAGGGAAGGCTGTTTTCCTGGAGCACACTCTTTCTCTCCAGATGCAACTCTGGGGCCAGTGCCCAAAGGCATAACACGGTGGTGCTAGCACCCATTTTTCAGAGCTGGCACCCCAGACAGGAAGGCCTGTGGCCCCTTGGTGGGTTAGGATTGGGAAAGTGCTAGCAGTTGGGCAGAGTGGTGAGGCAGAGAGAACACTGGATGAGAAGTCTAGAAGTCCTTGGTGACTTTGGGCTTTGGAATCCCAGCTTCTGCTTGTGTTGAGGGGTGGGTTGTAAGGTCCCATAAACATTCCTGGCTGGTCCCACAGAGTGGACCAGGCTCCTGACATCTTCCCCTTGGCCTCAGGCTGGGCCTGACAACGAGTGGCCACTGTTCTCCAGCTTTCCACTCTCACTCCAAGGTTTGTTTTTCTTTCTTTCCATTTTTTTCTCTTCCTGTCTTAGCTGCATGTTTTCCCAGAATTCTTATGGGAACGGGGTATTTTCCTGTCCCCTCCCCCTTTCCCTTGTCTGTCAGATTTCCTGTTTTACAAACTTGCTTTGAATCCAGGCCCAGGGCTGGTGGGAAGCAGAGCCTCAAGCACCCCCCAGCCCCGCAGCTTCCAAGAGCTATGGTCACTCTGGGTCCCCTCCTCTTTCCCTTCCTCATGCCTGAGCTTTGGGATAGCCTGCAGGTGAATGCCAGGCACCCAGGCTTGAAGGGACAGCCCTTAGGGAGGAGACAGAAGTCTCCCGACAAGGCCTGCCTTTGACCTTCTCCAAGACTGCTGAGCTGGCTTCTTCCTCAACCTGCTTGGAATGGCCTCCTCTATGCCACGTTAGGCCTTTTCCAAGTCCTACAGATCTGACTCAATGGCATGTAACAACAGCAACAAACTGCTTCTGGGGGGTCTCTTAGAACCCTCTTGAACCTCTTTTCTGACTCCTCCAGCTCTCATTCAAATGTTCCAAGTGGCCTGAGTTGCTTTCAGTGGCCTTCTGCGCTCCCAACTACAGCCTAATAGGGGGCAGTGCAGAGGGCGGAGTGTGGAGCAAGACTGAACTGACCTGAGCCAGCAGACCTCACTGCACCTTGATAGTTTCCCTCTGCTGGTGGGACCTTGCTGGCTGTCCTTACTGACAGCCTTGCTGAGTCCCTACTGTGCACCAAGGGTGGAGCCTAAGTCAAAACACTTTAAAAAGCTTTACTTAATTTTTATTGAGGATGTACATAGAAAAACATGTTGTTGTTGTTGTTATGTGCCATCGAGTCGGACCCAACTCATCACGACCCCTCCTTGGGTTTCTGAGGCAGTATCACTATGGAAGTAGATTGCCCCATACATACATCAATTCAATTTCTACATGTACAATTCAGTGGCATTGGTTACATTCTTCAAGTTGTAGTACTTTCCCTGATACCCGTTTCTGAACTGATTCACTATCATCTGCACAAACTCACTGCCCCCTGAGCTTCTCAGCAAACCTTTTGAGTTGCCCTTTCAATTTAATCTCACATAGATAATTTTTTAAAAAGAATATGCTTCTCTAAGCAGACTTTGTTTCTAATGAAGTTAAACTACTGTTTGGTTTAAAGATGACTTCAGGGGATATTTTTGGTTTAAGGTTTAAAGATTTTCTCAGAGTAATAGTTTTGGGGATCTTCCAGCCTCAATGGCTCCAGAGATTCTGGAGTCTATGAGAATTTTAAGCTCTGTTCTACATTTTTCCCCCTTTTGATCAAGATTCTTCTATAGAACCTAAAGTCAAAGTACTTTTGTCTATTCTCAACACAGTCCTCATACTTTGCTCTAGTACTTGCTGTGTCTTGCTTTGCTTCGGAGAAGTCTTTATATGCCCGTGCCTCTTGGGAAGTCAGAGATCAAGGCCTCATACTCTGTATTTCAGCAGAGCTTGGCATGCACTAGGTTCTCAATAAATGTGTGCTGCATTGAAAAGAACATCCAGATGGCAGGGGCCTTTCATGGGACTTCTGAAAATAGGGGCTGTGGACCTGCTATGCACACAGGCCTGAGCAGGCACAATGAAGTCAGTGGCTAGCTCAGGTTTAGCAGGGAGGCCTATCTGTGCCCTCTTACGTGGGAGCCTTGAAACCCTCACTGAATGCCTGTGACCCTGGAGATGGACTGCTTGGAGAACCCAGGACTCCTCCCCTGACCCTTGGACTGTGACTGGATGTGTGCATCTCTGTTGTCCACCCCTGTGCTCTGAGAGTGCAAAGACCAGATCTGCTTTGTCTGTGGGCACCAACCCTCAGTACAAAGTCAGCGCTGGGCTGATGCTCTGTGAACTTCTGGGGAGGGAAGAAGGGACCGAGTCACCAGTGGGTCATAGGTGAGCTGGAGACATGCAGGTTCAATGAGTCCCTTTGCAACGGGCTAGACTTTGTGTTTGCCAGAACTGAGGAAGGCGAGGTTTATCCTCTCAAGGTCCTGTCCCAGGCCCTCCCCATGTTGGTCTGGGCTTGCCCCTTGAGCTCTCAGCCTTCCTGCTTGGCCCACAACCCAGTGCTCAAGATTCCTGGGCTGAGATAGGGACAGCAAAAGGCCAGCTCGCTACTTCTTGGCTCTGGTCCCTCGGAGAGGAGGGTGACTCTGGGGGGGGGGCCTGTGGGCTCCCAACCTTGGAGGCACAGAGGCAATGTGGCTCCGTGGCTTCTGGGAGTAACTGGGCAGGGCTGTGTCCTAGATCACCATCCCAAGGGGGAAGGACGGCTTTGGCTTCACCATCTGCTGCGACTCTCCAGTCCGAGTCCAGGCTGTGGATTCTGGTAAGTGAGTGACTTGGGCGATGCTCAGCTCTCTTCACCCACCATGCACCTACCTGGGTCACCCACCATGCACCTGGGGTTGGCAAACAGAGGTTGGAACTGAACAGGGATCCCCAAACTGGAGCATTTTTCAAAGTGAAAAGAATAATATTTTTAAATGACCACAGATGAAACAGAGGCTTGTGAAAATATACCCACTCATTCTTTTTTTTTTTTTTTTAATCAAAATCATTGCTTTTTCACTTTTATCAAAACGAGGTGAAAAAATTTTAAAAAAACTTTTTTTTTTTTTTTTAATCAAAATGAAAACAGGGTTTTATATTTTGGCTCCTAGTCATTTTGTACAAGAGCTAAACCTATATTTTCAGTAATGACTACATGGGAAAATGAGAGTATTTTATGAACTCTGTTTGGAGTTGCTATTTTATTCTATTCCAAGCTGGAGTAGCACTTGAAATAGCCATTCTCCCATACTTTTCACAAATCAAAGATATCTCTTAATCACAGAGTGAGCAACTGGAGGGCAGAAGCCAGGGTTCGTGATCTGGGTGTCCCCAGAGCAGAGCCTGTGTGGGACCAGGCAAGAAATGGGTGGTCAGTGAATGATGCTGAAGGAATGAATGAAGTGTGCGAGCCTGGCAACAAGCAAGGGGTCTCCGTGGGACAGGAGGCCCTGGGACAGAGAGAAGGGGCTCTGGGTGGAGGGTAGGTGGCAGCCAGGTGGCCTGCACTAGGGTGAGGCGGCAGGGAGGAGGTGGAGAGCAGGGACCCAGAGAGCCGCCAAGTCCAACCTGTCACTTCACAGATGAAGACATGAGAGGGGGCAGTCCTTGCCCGAGGTCACCATGGAGGCAAAGGACTCCAGTCCTTCAGGGGCTCATGGACTTCCGGAGCCCCTGAGTGGCCTTCCTTTATTCCCGCAGGGGGCCCGGCCGAGCGGGCAGGCCTACAGCAGCTGGACACAGTGCTGCAGCTGAACCAGAGGCCCGTGGAGCACTGGAAATGTGTGGAGCTGGCACACGAGATCCGGTGACAGGGGCAGCGGGTGGCCTTGGGCCTCAGACTGATGGCACACCCTCCCTTCCAGCCCTGGACACACCACCCTGCCCTGCCCTTGCCTTTCCCTCCTCTGCCCAGCTGTGAACCATTTACTCTGCTCCCCAGTGAATCAGCTTCCCAGCCTGAAGATGGAAGGTTCAGACTTGGAGCAATTTTGGCTCCCAGAGCAAACAGGGGGCAGAAGCTCTCAAATAGTTCATGACATGGCTCTGCTCCATGGGGTCGCTGTCGTTCATGACATGGCTCCGCTCGATGGGGTTGTTTTCTATTTTGCCTAATTATTCCTGCTCCTGAAGAGCTGGGCAGAAGGATGTGTAGATGCAGCCAAGGTTTATGTGGCACAATTTAAACATTAAATAGTTATTATTTTTTTCAAATATTTGTGTTCTCTAAATTTTGATGCCCTGAGGTCCCTGGGGGGAGCTCTGGTAACGTAGTGCTTAAGGTACTTGACTGCTAACCAGAAGGCTGGCGGTTCAAACCCATTAGCCACTCCTTGGAAGGAAGATGGGGCAATCTACTTCCATAGTGATACTGGCTTGGAAACCCAAGGAGGGGTTGCTATGAGTCGGTTCCGACTCGATGGCACATAACAGCAACAACAACAACAAGAAGGATGTCCCTGGCTGGTGCAAGTGATTTATCCACATCCGCTAACCTAAAGGTTGGTGGTTCGAGCCCACCTAGTGGTTTCACTGAGAAAGAAAGAAACCTGGTGGTCGGCTTCCATAAAGATCACAGCCGAGGAGACTCTGTGGCGCAGTCTACTCTTGTGACACGTGGAGTCACTGTGAGTCAGAATTGACTACAGAGCAACAAGTCTTGTTTTTTTGGGGGGAGTGGCAAAGTCCTAGGAGCTCTGGTGGCATAGTGCCTAAGGCATTTGACTGCTAACCAGAAGGCTGGTGGTTCAAACTCACCAGCCAGTCCGTGGAAGGAAGATTGGGCAATCTATTTCCATAAAGATTTACCGCCTCAGAAACCCAAAGGAGGTCACTATGAGTCAGAATCGACTCAATGGTTTTTTTGGGGGAGCAAAGTCCTAGTGGCCCTGTTTTGGGTTGGCCTCAACTGACTAGATGAGGGTTGTACATAAGTGACTTCCTTGCCCCTACTTGCTCTTATTTTGCCTGTGGCAGATGTCGTAGTAGAGTATGGCAGGCTCTCCGGGCACATGGCCCTGGCCTTGGCCTCAGGTTCCTTCTCAATCACTGTTGATTTGAGTTGACTAAAGAGATCCTTTGTCTGTCTCTGCTTCAGATGACCTCTTACATCCCTTCCTGCCCTGACTTTGACTGGGGGTTTCTCCTTGCCTCTGCTTCCTTCGCCCCTACTCTTCTGCTTTGCCCCTGCAGGCCCCCACCTTGGTTGATTTTGGTCTCCCCCAGGCTCAACTTCTCTGTGCACCCCTCCCCCCACCTCCAGGAGCTGCCCCAGCGAGATCATCCTGCTCGTGTGGCGCATGGTCCCCCAGGTCAAGCCGGGGCCGGATGGCGGGGTGCTGCGGCGGGCCTCCTGCAAGTCGACACATGACCTCCAGTCGCCCCCCAACAAGCGGGAGAAGAACTGCACGCACGGGGCCCAGGCCCGGCCCGAGCAACGCCACAGCTGCCATTTGGTGTGTGATAGCTCAGATGGGCTGCTGCTTGGTGGCTGGGAGCGCTACACCGAGGTGGCCAAGCGTGGGGGCCAGCACACACTGCCTGCACTGTCCCGGGCCACTGCCCCCACTGACCCCAACTACATCATCCTGGCCCCGCTGAACCCTGGGAGCCAGGTATGGACAGTTGGTTTGGGGAAGAGGAGGGGTATTGGGTCCTTATACAAGCCCAGGAAGACCTGAAGATTCAAAATTGTGTTGAGAGAAGCCTGCAAGGGGCTGAGGGTGTTAAGCAAGGAGGTGAGGAAACCTAGGGAGGGTACAAATTAGCTCTGGCTGCCCTGGGCAGAGAGAACAGATGGGCCAATGTGGCCTCAGGGCACAGATCCAGGGTCACTGGGGGATGTCACAGGGTAGAAGATTCCAACTCAGCCAAAGGAAGACCTTTCAAACAGCCCACTTTTCTGCATTGGAATGGGCTGCCTTGGAAGGCAGTGAGCTCCCTATCATAGGGGGTATGAAAGAGACAGTGGATAATTATTGCATGTAGGGATGATGTCTGGGCTCCCCAAAATACTACTGCCAGGAGATACTCTGGGGAAAAAGTGTTTGAGGTCAAGATAGGTTTGAGAAATATTCCATATTCTTTCTCTTCTGGGAAATTCCCAGTGCACATTAGCCCACTCAAGGCTCTGAGGGAATATCCACAGTGAAGGAGGATCTAGCATTTCTCAAACTTAGGTGGGAGTGGCACCCTTTATGGCATGTTTGTTAATGTCCCACGGTACCAGTGTTCCAACTTTGAAACAGCTGCTATAAAAGATGTTGGAGAATTGGCCAAGGGGTTAGACTTGATGATAGCTCAAGCCTCCTTCAAGCTGGACTTCCTGAGATTCTGAGTTCTCTCTGAGTCTCTTCCCTCAGCTGGTTAGCTGGACTGCTCTGTTTTCCTTGTACCCTCAACCACTCTGCCCCCTATCCCACAGGCCTTTTTGGCCTGGTGTCCATAGCCTGTTTGACTGTCCTGCCCCATTCCTGGGGCTAAAATGGTTCCATCTTTCCATTGCAGCTGCTGAGGCCTGTGTACCAGGAGGATACCATCCCAGAAGGTGAGTCTGTCCCTGCCACTGCGCTCTCTGAGTCCCGTGGTGAAGACCAGCTGAGCGCCGGCCCAGCCTCCTCCTCTGGTCTCAGAGGCCTTTCTGACAGAGTCCAGATCTTGTAGCAAGTTGACACAGCCTCTCTGTCTTCTCGGGACCTTCTTCTCCTCACCTAGCCAGTGTCTTTTCCCCTCGGGAGCCTGAACTGAGAAGGAAGAGAGGGAATCTTCCTGGAACAGTCTGAGACATAACGTCTTCAAGACTCATTCGTTCAGTTGAGATCATCCAGTTTTACTGACCAACAGGTATAAGTTCAGTGCTGTAGGGAATGTGGTCTGGCCTGCTCAGGAGGGTGGCGTGGCATTGGAGCTGCAAAGTCTCAAGTGTGAGTTCTAGCTGTATAACTTTGAACAAGTCACATCCACTTGCTTAGCCTCAGTGTCTTTATTTGCAGAATGGGCCCGTAATTCCTGTCACAGGTCATTGTTGGGGGATTAGATTAGACACAGGTTGTGAGTACTAGCCTGTCTACTGTGATATGTCCCACAGATGGGGCTTGTCTTTGAAGTCCACAGATGTTTCTGCTGTTCCGACTGATTCTTTTCCCTTTCCCCTCTAATCCCAGCCAAGGGGAGAAGCTGGGCTCAAAACCAATTCTTTCTTCCAGGAAGCCCTAACTCTCAGTCTGAATGCTTGAGCTGGTGGCCATTTTCACTTCTCTCCATGCCCACTAAAGGAGTTCTGGTGGTGCAATGCTTAAAGCATTTGGCTGCTAACCAAAAGGTCGGTGGTTTGAACCCATCAGCCACTCCACGGGAGAAAGATGAGGCAGTCCAGTTTTGTAAAGATTTGCAGCCTTGGAAACCCTATACCAAAAACCAAACTTACGGCCATTGAGTTGATTCTGACTCATAGCAACCCCCATTGGGTTTCCAAGGTGGTAAATCTATACGGAAGTAGATTGCCCCACCTCCCGCCAAACTTCTGGATAGCAGTCAAATACCTTAAGCACTGTGCCATCAGAGCTCCTTTGGAAATCCTGTGGGGTGGGTCTGCTCTGTCCTGTAGGGTCATCATGAGTTGGAATCGACTCAATGGCAGTGGGTCTTGATTTTGATGTGCCTTCTGGAGACCTCTGACTCAACAGCCCAGCTGGCATCTAGAAGGTGAAACCAGCCTTGCCAGCTGCCCATGATGGACACTTTGGATGTGCTTGAGCCCTTCCTCTGGTGCCTTCAGAATGACCTTTAACCTTCTTTTATCATGGCCTTGTCCCAGCCCCTTGCAGACTTACTTCCTTGCATCTCCCTCCATCAGTAGTGCGAAGATGATGTTTGCTTATAGCCAGGGCTTGGAAGAGTGCCTACACTGTTTTGGATGGAAAGGGCTCCCATCAGGTTCAGGGTCATGACGGAAGGCACCCTCTTCTTTTCTAATCTGGGGCATTGGCACAGTTGGGCCTGATCTCTTGGAAATGAATCTGTGTTCCTTCTGGGGAGAAATCTGATAGTAATTCAACTATGAAGTTTTAGTCAGCACATTAGGTTAGAGCGCAGATGCCACTGCTAAATGGTGACTTCATTAAGGGCAGAGCCAGGGCCTGATTCACTTCTGTGTGTCCAGTGCCCAGCGTAGGGCCTGGCAGACAGTAGGTACTCCAAGATTTCTGGTTGAGTGACTGATTGAAGGAGAATGACTCTGGTTGCCTCCAGGGCTTGGAGACTGGTCATGGAGTCGGAGGGCACGTCTCTCTCCCTCCAGATGGAGGGGGTGTCACCTGCAGTGCGCAAGTGGACATAGGATCGATGGAATTGAGTCTTTCTCGGCCTAAGAGATGCCTCCATATCTCTCTGGTGTCCTCCCAACCTGGATTCATGTTTTGATTCCCTTCTGTTAGTGAACCAAGAAGGGCACAGCTGTCTAAGCTGTGGGGAAAGGGAAAGTAAGGGAATGATGATGGTTTTAGTAACAACGGTAATTTTTGAGTGCATTGTATTAAGATCTTGTCTCTACTTCGTTTATTCTTCACATTAATAATCCTTTTGGTATCTAAGGACATCTTTGCTGTTTACCAGGAATCAAGTCTTCCAAGGTCCTAGTCCTGGGGTTCAGAGGAGTGGCTTCTAGGAAACAAAGCTTCCCTTAAACACGCTGGAGGTTCTCCAGAGGTTAAGGCTGTCACCGGGGCTGCTGGCATCTCCCGCCCCCTCCTCTGGCTGGGCTGCCTGGCTTCCTTTCAGGAGGGAGGGTTGAGCCCTCCTCAACTGAATAGAGTCTGGTGCCCTTCCAGGGCCTGGGGCCGCCTGCCTGGTGGTGGTTGGCATGTTCCCCAGGGCTGCTAGTGCCCTTGGCATTGTCCCCTGACAGCCTGTAAAGGCAGCCTGGCCTCAAATTCACTGCTGAGGTGGGATGCCACTGAGATCCCACTGCTGAGGTGGGATGCCTGCTAGGGCTAGCCTCGGAAGTTGTGAGCAAAGCCATGGTCATTACTGTGTTTGGTCAGTGAAGCAGGTGTTTGAGAAAAAGGGGGGTGGGGTTTGGGTGAGAGGTCATAAGGGAAATATGTGGGAAATGAATGAGCTCAACAGCCGAGTTACCTGGACTGTTTTTAAAAAGATACTTCAAACATCAGTGTTGGAGAGCCACGCTCATTCACCGCACTTTGTCCAGGATGTGTGGAGGTGAGACACTAGGGTATGACTCCCATGTAGGTTGGGTCAATCCCACTGACTGCTCAAATGACCTTGGCAAGTCACCCAACCACTCCAGGCCTCAGTTGCCTTATCCATAAAATGGGGGTAAGCAGACCTTTCCTACCTGAAGGAGAGGTATTTTCCAGGTGACTCATTTATGACTCTCTGTGCCCCTGGTTCTCTGCCAGTGCTGAGCGTCTGGGCAGAGAAGGGAATAAATGGATTCTTTCACTCAGTCTAAGTGGCACCAGAACTCCCACTGCCATTCAGTCCATTCCAACTCAGAGCGACCGCCATTGGTTTTCCAAGGCGGTAAATCTTTATGGAAATAAATTGCCCCATCTTCCTTCCATGGCACTGGGCCCCGATTTTGGCCTCGGCAAACACTACCCTTCTTTGTTTATTTTTGTTGTTGAGAATATGCACACCAAAACACATACCATTTCAATTATTTCTCCATGTATAGTTCAGTGCCACTGACTATATTCTTTGTCTTGCGCAACGGTTCTCACCTCACCCTCCTTTTCTGAGTTATTCCCTCTCATTAATATCAACTCACTGCTCCCTGAGGTTCCCATCTAACCTTTCCAGTTGCTGTTGTCACTTTGATCTTATATACAAACTCATTGCCTTTGAGTCGATTCTGACTCGTAGCGATCTCCATTGGGTTTCTAAGGCTGTAAGTCTTTATGGAAGCAGACCACCAATGTTTCTTTGTGGAATAAGTGGGTTCTAAGTGTCAATGTCTGTTTAGCAGGCACATGTCTTAACCACTACACTGCCAGAGCTCCTTTGAGCTCATGTAGATAGTCCTTAAAAGAGCATAATGCTCAAAGCAGACCTTTTTTGTAGTTCAACTATTGCGTGATTTTAAGAAGACTTCAAAGGACATTTCTGGTTTAAGGTTTGAAGATTATCTCAGGGCAGTAGTTTCAGGGGTTTATCCAGCTCCCTTGGCTCCAGAAGGTCGGGAGTCTATGAGAATTTAAAATTATGTTCTGCGTTTCTTCCCTTTTGATCAGGGTTCCTCTGTGATCAAAATGTTCAGTAATGGCAATTGGGAATCATCCAGTTCTGGTGGCCTGGCAAAGGAGGCAGTTGTTCATGGAGGCAGTTAGCCACACACTCCATGTTGTTGTTGTTGTTGTTATGTGCCGAGTGGGACTCGACTCATAGCGACCCCTCCTTGGGTTTCCTAGGCAGTATCACTGCGGAAGTAGAATGCCCCATCTCTTATTCCTGATGCTCTTTCCATTATTGCTCCAGGCAAACAGAGACCAATTGTTGTGCCTCAGTTGGGCACTTCCCAGCTTAAAGACCCCAGGTACTAGCAATGAAGTGGGAGGTAGAACAGATGTAGTAAACACATTATTAGGCCAATTAAGTGGGGTGTCAAGCAGTGCCCTTTGTTAATTTTGGTCTCTTTTTTCTCACTTCCTTGCTTGTGAGTTCTATGTGGTTTTGCCTTCTCTGTGCTAGGCTTAAATTAGACTGCTTAGTTCCAGGCTGACCCCATGACCCCATTCACAAAATGGTTTAAGGTTCAACAGCTCTGCCAGTCCTGCCCCAGCCTGATGAGTGGATTATTCAGTGGCTGGAGTTTGTAATAACCCATCGTGCACTCACAGTGCGGTACAGTTCACAACTCCCTTCCCTATCAGGTCTCCGTGTGAGCCTCTGCTGGCTGTGGAACAGGCAGAGTAGAAATCTGTATCATTTGCACTTGGCAGTGGGGAAAACTCTGGCTCAGAGAGGGAAAGAACCTGTGCAGGGATGCACAGCAGTTCTCTGGGGAAATCAGTGCTCAAGTTCGGGTCTCTTGTTCTGCTCAAATCCCATGCAGATTTTGAGACCCTGGCTGAATCTTTTAGCAGAGAGGCTGGGGCCGGTGCAGCACAGACCCTCTGGGGCTGGTGTCCAGGGCCACATCACATGCAGAGCTGCGTAACTCCTTTCCTGCATCCACCCCTCCCGCCCCGTCCTGGGCCCACACTTCTTTCACTTTTCTCTAAGCGACTCACTGAAGAGGCAGGAAGTGGTTTAAGTGATTATGGTTTGAATGCTGCCCCAAGACTCCGCTGTGTCGGTGGTCACTTGTGTGTGGGGGGAGTCAACTTGTTTTTCTCACTCTGCTGGGTGACAAGGGGCAGGGGTGGGTGATGGAGATGAAACTGAAACCTTGTGAGCCGAGCTTTCCTCTGAAGGGTGGCCTTGCGTTGGTGGGGAGCTTCCCGAGATGTGGCTGGGGTCAGGCCACCTGTTTACCTGAGGCAGCCTCCTGGCTTCCAGGGCTGGGGGTGGCAGAAGTAGGCAGAGGTTCCAGGATGTGGGCCTGGATACCCAGGTCACGGAGGGCCTGGCCAGTTGCCCAGCTGGCAGCTGGAATCCTTTGGACAGACCCAGGTCTGCATGGAGCCCGACTGCTCTGGAGTTTGCCTCCAAAAATCCCTGACTTTTTAGTGGCCCTGTATTTTTCTCTCCTGTTCATTTGACAGGGCCTGGTAAAGGCTTGTGCACCACCACCCTGGGAAGTGTACAGATGTGTACAGCTGTGGCCTCTTAAAGAGCCTGCTCCTGCTGTGATAACAGGAATTCTCTCCTGAGGAAGACCATGCTTCTCTCTCTCTCTCTCTCTTGAATTAGAATAATTTGTGAGTTGGTAGCTAATGCAATAGTACTTCCTGGATAGGGTGAGGCCTAGAGACCATTGGGGCGCCTGATTAACTCATTTTTCCAGGTGGAAAACCCACTGCCATTGAGTTGACTCTGACTCACAGCAACCCCCCTTGGGTTTCCAAAGTGGCAAATCTTTATGGAAATACATTGCTTCACCTTTCTTTTGCAGAGTGGCCGGTGGGCGTGAACCGCCAGCCTTCTGGTTAGCAGTCAAATGCCTTAGGCACTGTGCTACCAGAGCTTCTTTTTCCAGGTGGAAGAATCACACAAACAAGAACAACAATAGCTTAGCAGCTAACGTTTACCGCATGCTGACCAGGTCTCAGCACTGTTCATGGATGTCCTGTTCATGGATGGTGGCACAAATGGTTACATGTTCGACTACTAGCCAAAGGGTTGGCAGTTCAAACCCACCCAGGGACACTTCTGAAAATAGGCCTGGTGATCTACTGGTGAAATGTCACAGCTTTGCACGCGCTCTGGAGTGGTCCTATCCCACAGCACACGGGGTCACTCTGGGTTGCAGATACCTTGACGACCCCTAACAATAAGCATTCTTCTAAGGGCTTTGCTTAAAGCCTCTCATTTAATATCAAGCAACCTAGTGAGCATGATACTATTATTACAAGACTGAGGGGTGATGTTCCAGGTCACTGAACTAGTGAGTGTGGAGAGGCATTTAAGCAAGTTCTTTGCCAAAAACTGGAGCAGCAAGTGCTCGTTCCCTATTCCGGACTGATCAGCGTGAGCCAGGCTGCTCCAGGGCCCTGAGTTACCGGAGGATGGACTCTGAGCCATCCTGGGAAGTCTACTGTCCCTGCTACTGCTACCGATGGTGGATCTCCCATCGTTTGTCCATGGGGCCTGAAATGGGCTGGCTGGCTAGGCTGGGAGTAGTGGGGACAGTGACAAAGATGACTTGCCCTGCTGCAAGGGCAGTCACTGCTCTGCTCCACTGCTCCATGTGGGACTATGGGCCCCATAAACAAAATCTGATTTTTTAAATGGAAGAGATTTCCTTGTTTTTAAAAGTATGATTAGAGTTCTGGGCCACCAGATGGACACTTTAAGTCATTCTTAGTGGTTCCTAAGCTCTGTCCTGGCCCTAGAGTGACTTTTTTTACCTGTCAGTAGCTGTCACTAGAGTGTGAGTGAATTCCTTGAGGGCTGAGACCCATCTTCTTAGCACTTTGCACAAGATCTGGCACGTAGTAGATGCTAGAAAACGGTTATTGGTTGAATGAGTGTGAGTTCCCTGTTTCCCTGGATGGGATGCCTCTGCAGGGCTGAGGGAAGTGCCTCACAGCCCCCCTTCTTTCTTCCACAGAATCGGGGAGTCCCAGTAAAGGGAAGTCCCACACGGGCCTGGGGAAGAAGTCCCGGCTGATGAAGACGGTGCAGACCATGAAGGGCCATGGGAACTACCAAAACTGCACAGTCATGAGGCCACACCCTCCGCACTCCAGCTATGGCACCTATGTCACCCTGGCCCCCAAGGTCCTGGTGTTCCCCGTCTTCGTGCAGGTGAGCTGGTGGCTGACTCCAAGGGTTCCCTCAGGACGATGTGAGAGAGAGAGGAGGGGCCTATGCCCAGGACTGAGAGCCCCTTCTCAGGAAAGATAAATACTCGCAGATGCTCAGGATTCTTGGACCAGAGGTTTCTAGAAAGAAGCATGGGGGAGCCTAGCAGTAAGAGGAGCCCTCCTCTCCCTTCTGGCTTTCCCTCCTTCCTCTGGGGACAAGGAGCACTACAACTTCCTACTCCTTGTTGAGCAGCCGTCAGTCATTCACTGTAAAGTCGCAGGTCCTGTTTGCTCAGGCGCCCCTCCCTACCTCATCGAAGGGTTTATTGTTTGGAGATGACAGAGGAGAGCCTTATGGTCTAGGCACCTTGTCTGGTTTCCTTGGTGTCAGCAAACACACCTGGCCATTATCAGCTGCTGGCCTGAGATTCTTTGACATCTTCCTCTCCTCCTACCTCTTTCTTCTTCCCATCCTCCCCATCTACCCCTCTTCCTAAAAAACAACCTTGATTTATTCCACCACCTAGATAGAACCAGTGTGAACACGAATCAGCACTTACTGTGCATTTTATATCCCGTTGCCTTTTCTTAAAGGAAACAAAGATTATAGCATGAACACTTTCCCTACCGTTCAATATGCTTTGAGCCTGCCTTTTGTGGTGGTTGCACACTGTTTTATTACATGGATGTATTATGTTTATTTAATCAGTTCTCTGTTCGGTTACGTCATGGCTCCTTCTTTAGCTATTGTAAATAACTCTGTGATGAAAATCCTTGTTAATGAATTGTGTCTTTGATTATTTTCCTTGGGAGAGCTTCCTGTAAATGAAATGACTGGGCCAGGGATCCTAAACATTTTAACGGCTCTTTGTACGTTGACAAATCACTTTCTAGAAAGGCTGTATTAGTTTATCCTCTCATCAGAGCACAGAGATGACGCGGCTCCATGGGACTCATTTGTCACCAAGCGTTCCTTCTCTTGGCTCCCTGGCATCCTTTTCTGGGGCTGTCACTGTCCAAAGGGTTCTTTTTGTTGTTGCTCATGTTTCCAGCTCTTAAAATTTTTTTTTTTTGGAAAAATAAATCTTATTGTGGTAAAACATGTGTATCACAAAGCATTTGTCAACTCAATCTTGTTTTTTTCAACTCAACCATTTTTACGTGCACAACTCAGTGACGTTAGTTGCCTTCAGCATATTGTGCAGCCAGTGGCCAGTGAATCTGAGAACACACACTTTGTTAGGGTGTAGCGTTCTCTCGTGGGTGGGTGACTCCCCCAGATAGATGTGTGGGCCATGACTTTCTGTTGGTATCTTTCTTAGCATGTAACACAAAAGCCTTGGCATCAACAGGGGATATCTTTCTTTCTTTCTTTTTTATTGTGATTTGGGTGAAAATTTACAGAGCAAATTCACTTTCCATACAACAGTTCACATATACTTGGTCTCATGACATTGACTACAATTTATCACAATGCAACAGCTCCCCTGCCACTTCCTCCCCATAGTTAACCTCTTCCCTGTGTCTATCCCTCCATGCACTTCTGCCTCCTGAGCTGTCTCCCTGTGCATAAACAGCCCTTCTTTCTCCCATGATTGATCTCTCCAGGGAGTGTATCGACCTCAGGTAAGTGTTCAACTCATACGCCTTCTTTTGTTTGGCTGGAAGCCACAGGTGTGGGTTCAATTCCAGACCTGAAGGGCAGCTAGGGGCCATAGTCTCAGTGGTTCCACCTGGCTCTATCAGACCAGCAAACCTAGTCCTCCCTTTTTTTCCCCCCCCAAATGATTTTGAGTTTTGTTCCACATTGTTCTCCCTCTCTATCCAGGATCTCTTACATAGATCGCCCTCCAAGTGGTTGACAGTGGTAGCCTGACACCATCTAGTTCTTCTGGTCTCATAGTTGTATAGGCTGATAGGCTGTGGACTGCATGGTGTATCAGTTGCTAGGACTAATTGTTTCCATGAATCTTTGGTTTTCTTCTTTCTTCTTTGCTCTGGACGAGGAGAGACCCATTGTTGCATCTAGATGGCTACTTGCAAGCTTTTAAGACCCCAGTTGCTACTTGTCAATGCAGAACAATGTTTTGTGTAATATGTTATGCCAATTGAGCTTGATGTCCCAACAGGGGATATCTTTCATTGTCACTTTTAAATTTTTAGAAAAAACTAAGATTAGTTTTAAAAAAAGTTATACAGACTTTTGAGTTATGAACTATATACATTCCAAAAAGCATAACCCTTTAGATGTACCATTTCACAAGTAATGATGACGTGACTGTCCTCTGAGATAAAGGAGTGGACCGTTGTCTTCATTCCAGAAGCTCTTCCTGATCCTAATCTCCCTCTTGCCAGAGGTCTTCACTGGCCTGACTTTATGGGAATCATTTCCTTGCTTTTCTTTAGTGTTGCCATCCCTGAGTGCTTCCTTAAATACCATGCTTTGTTTGGTCTCTTTGTGGATGTTATTTAATAACTATATGTCTTCTTTGGGTCTTACTTCTTTTGTTTCACAGTGTTTGTAAGATTTCATCGAGGTTGTTGTGTTTAGTTGATACTTGTCTCATTATCCTTCTTCAAGCACCTCGCTTGGTGTCAGGTACTTGGAAGGCATGCCATGGATCTGTATTCATGGGGATAATCCGGGACTCAAGGAGCCTTCTCTGGGCTGGGCAGGGTGGGTCTGGGGAAGCCCTCAAGGGGTATGAGGCAGAATGATGGGGTGTGGTGAGAGATTGGGTGAGAATGACCCCCAGGGAACTGATGGCTGGGTCGGAGTCTGGTAGCTCAAGCGTGGTAGAGAGCAGAGCAAGGGCTGGCCTGAACTTGAAGGGCTTGAAGTGACCGACTGTGCTGCCATGAATGTGGGTTACAGGCTGGGCAGAAGGTATCCCCGAGAACGTGGCTCTGATGGCAGGAACTTTCACGTAAGGTATGAACAGAGCAGAGAGTGTGGGGGCAGGGAGGGCCCAGCAGCTGGGAGGAGGTGACGGGAGGACTGCAGAGGCCTAAACATGTGGTTGGACTTCCTGCCAGAGAGTGCAGCTCTCATAGCGAGGGCTGGTGGGGAAGGTGGCAGCAACAGTTCCGCACAGGACAAGAGCATCTGTCTTTCTGTTTCCATCTTGGGAGTTGTGCATGAGGGGGCGTGTGGGTTCTTGGGGGGAGTGGAGAGGAGTGGGGAGGAGGGGCTGACGGGCTTCTCTCAGTTGAGAGGGTTCTGCCCTCCTCCCTCCCCGTACCTTCTCCACTAGGCCTCGGAACTGCCCACTCAGCCCCAGCTTTGCTTTGTTTTCAGCCTTTGGATCTCTGTAACCCTGCCCGGACCCTCCTGTTGTCAGAGGAGCTGCTGCTGTATGAGGGGAGGAACAAGGCTGCTGAGGTAAGACTAACACACGAATTTCCCAGGTGAGGTTTCCTGCTGGGTCCGTTGGCTGTTCTCTGGGCCCCTGACATTGCTCTCTTCCTGAGGGTCTTAGAATTATACAATCTGAAGGTAGAAGAGACCTGGAAGGGCTTGCAACCCCACGCCCTACATCCGCCTTACCAAATGGCCACCCATTTTTTTCTTGTATGCTTCCAGTGATGGGGTCTCATTACTTCTCAAAGCTGTTTAGTCCATCTTTGATGATGAGGAAGTTTTCCCAGGCTACTGTTTATCCCCACTTCCTCTAAGGATCAGAAGAGATGTCGATTCACGTCAGCCGTGATGAATAACTTTGTGGATGGGAAGATTAAAACTGTTAGCCAAAGAAAATTTTTGGAGGGGCATTAGTTACCCAGGTTTTCTGGGTCTGTAATCCACCCCCCAAGTCCTCTTCTGAGGGTTCAGTCTGTGATTTCTCCTGGGCTCTGTCTCTGCTGACAGGCGAGTGGAGAGAGGGGTCGTGCCATTCTTCCTGGGAGCTGGCTCTTGCTTATCTCTAACTGGGGAAACTTCACTCACCTACACAATCCCCAGAGCTGGTGAGGTTCCAGCTCAGTGGCATGAGTGTAGTAAGTCTACTTGAGAACAGATGTTGGTGCCCTGGGACCTGGCTGGGCTACCTGGGGGCCCTGGGGGCGAGGGTAGAGGGCTTGCTACAGGTCAGGCCCTAGCTAAGCGCTGGCAACCTGGAGCAGTGGAAGGATCAGGAAACTTGGAAGCAGGAAGCCTGCAGCCAGTTCCAGCTCTGCTGCTGGCTCACGTATGATTTTTCCTTCTTTCTCAGTCTTCCCATCTGCACAGTGGGTGTGTGTATATGTGAGGCAGCAAGGATGCGATCTGAGGTTCACTAATCTCTAAGGGCTCTTTCTGCCTTGGCATTTTGTATGATTATGGCTAAAGTGGGAGGCTGGTTTGGTTTTGTTTTTTTAAACAAGGAGACCAGAACTCTACTTGTTTCACATTCCCAATGAGCATCTTGTGTTTTAAGAAAGCGCCCTGTGAAGATTGCAGGTGTATTTTTACCACACTGTCATTGCTCACCGTACTCTGGATCTCACCTTTGGGTACTTTCTTAAGAACCTTGGTGCATCTTCTGAATTGCCTCCCTGGGGGTAAAACTTCACCTGTTGAGAGAGATTTGAGTTTTAGGAACAAGAAGTCATTTGGAACTATGTTGATGAATAAAGTTTGTGGTGGAACTAAGCCAGGAGGCCAAGGGTCAGTAAGGTGTGGCTATAAATTCATGTTGTTGTTATGTGCCGTTGAGTCGGACCCGACTTATAGCGACCCCTCCTTGGGTTTCTGAAGCGGTATCACTACAGAAGTAGATTGCCCAACCTTCCTTCTAAGGAGTGCCTGGTGGGTTTGAACCACCAGCCTTCTGGTTAGCAGTCAAATGCTAGGGATATGATGGGGCACGAGAAGGACATGCCCTCATTTTACACAGTGACCGAGTTTACCATTAACTAGGCACTATGCTACCAGAGCTCCCTATAAATTCATAAGACTTATAAAAAAAGGCAGCTGGAAATGGCAGTCATGCTCAAATGTATACATATGCCTAATTGTGTCCTTTCATTTGTCCACTAACCGTCAAGTATGCAAAGGTTCAGCACCTACTATCTATCTTCACTGCATGTGTTTTAACATACTAGACCCCATCCACACCTCTTGCAGCACCTCCATGAGATACGTAAGGTTGTCCCCACCCTATGGATGAGGAGCCTAAGGATCTAGTGGGATTAACTGGGACCTGAGCGTCTCACAGCTCATAAAGGACAGAGCCAGGTTTAGCACTCGGCTCTCTCTTGACTCAGCAGTGCCTTCCACGATCCCAGGCTGCCTCTGGCATGTTTGTTTTAAAACACAAGCAAACACAAGCTGAAGCCAAATCTGGTTACTCTATAGTTACGATCTGTCCAAAATATCTTTGCACAGTGGATCTTTAGAGCCTTAGAACTAAGAGACATCCTTTTAAAGATTGAAGAAAGTGATTTGAAGACAAGTTAAATAAATGTATTTCTTTTTCTTGAAGTATGATAGACCAAAAGTATAGATCACGGGTGCCCTATCATATTACTCAGGCCAAAAATACACACCACATCAAGAAGGGTTTGGATACTGTTCATAAAATCTTAGTGTGGCTTGGGCCCTCAGATGCCATCTGTTCTAATTGCCTCCCTCTAACATTTCCAGAAGGAGCTTTGGTAGCATAGTGCCTAAGGCACTTGACTGCTCACCTGAAGGCTGGCGGTTCAAACCCACCAGCCACTCCTCGGAAGGAAGGTTGGGCAATCCTACTTCCGTAGTGATACCACCTCAGAAACCCAAGGAGGGGTCGCTCTGAGTTGGGGCCGACGACAGCACACAACAACAACAACATTTCCAGAAAGAGACCTCATGGCACAATGGTTAAATGCTTACCTGCTAACCTAAATGTTGGTGGTTCAAACCCACTAGCCCCTCTGTGGGAGAAAAGACACAGTGATCTGTTCCTGTAAAGATTAGAGCGTAGGGAACTTTTTGGGACAGGTGTTACTCTGTCATTGTAGGGCTGCTATGAGCTGGAATTTACTTGATTCGCAGCAGTAACAACGTTGCTGGCTGGCGGTTTTCCAGACAGTTCTGGAATCTGCAGGGGCAGTAATTCCAAGCAGTGAGTTTTGTTGCTGGAGAGGGCTAAATCATTCTTATTTACCCTCAACAGAAGCCTCTGTTCCGTGTCCAGTCTCTTCTCTGGGCATGGTTAAGCTTGCTAGTGTCTGTAACTAATGCAGTCCCACATGGTGAACCGTCCCCATCACCCCTCTCCCAGCAGTCCCGATCGGATCGTTAATGCACTCTGAGATCGATTCAGCATTTTGGAGCAGCCTCATTCATAGATTCAAACTTAGTTACTGAGCTTCTATAATGCAGCCAGGCCCCGTGCTCGGTTCCAGGGATATGATGGGGCACGAGAAGGACACGCCCTCAATTTACACAGTGACCGAGTTTACCATTAACTAAGGCGCCAAGGTCTTCTCTGCAAACCCTGTCCTTAGGCCAGTGTCCTGGGAGGAAGCTTGGTTAGGAGCCACTTGGAATAAGCGACCCTCCAAGTTGCAGGGACTCCCTAACCAAGTGGTCCCTCAACCCGTGACCCTTTGGAAAACCAGATGTATCCTTGGCACAAGTGTGGGGAAGACATGGGTGGCCTGTTGTGGAAAACAGCAGGTGAATGAGCCACAGAAGTGCTGGTGAGATGGGAGGGGACCAGCCCCCTGCCGTCCCCTGGCACGCTGGCCCCCTGTGCCCTGCTTCTAGCTGTGTGCCCGCTCTGTCCTTTCCCTGACCCGACCTTTGGGGAAATTCTTCATTCAGCCTTAATTGTTTCCTGTCTAGACTGTTTTCTCAGTGCTGGGAATCTGGCCTGGGGCTTTCTCACCTTGCTCAAGGCTCCTCCCTGCCTGCTATCCCACCTCTCTCCCCTGGCTCATCCTTTTACAGGATTTCTCTGGGAGTTCTGATGGTCTAGTGGTTAAGGCACTTGGCTCCTAACCAAAAGGTTGGTGGTTCGAACACACCAGCTACTCCATGGAAGAAAGATGACATAGTCTGCTAGTGTAAAGATCTACAGCCTTAGGAACCCACTGGGGATTGTTATGACATAAATCATCTCCAGCTTTCCCTGCCAGCTTCTTTGTGGGTCCTTAGGTAGCTGCTGCCAGACCCTCCCCCCCTTGAGTGGGGAGATGGGCTCGGGGACCTGGGGGTTTGCCTTGGGTTATTGGCTGGTTTAGAACTTTTTCTTTTCTGTTGCTTGGTCTTTGAAGTCTTCTCCTCCCATGACCAACCCATCAAACTCTTCTGAACTCTTGTATCATTTTTTCTTTTCCTCCCTTAGCTTTATAATTATTCTTTTTGTCTCCTTTTCTCCTCTTTTTTGATTCCTGTTTGGATTCTTTCACATTCAGGTATGGGATGGCTTTAGACACATTGCTACTCTGTGTAGTGAGTGCTTTAGGGTCATTAAAACTGGTAATGGTCCCAGGCTGTGTAGCCTTGGACATGTTACTTAACCTCTCTGAGCTATAATATCCTCATCTGTAAAAGAAGGTAGTGATGCTATTTTCAAGTGAGGATCCACTGAGCAGAAAGTAAGTGCTCAACAAATGCAAGCTCCTGCTGGACTGTGTTGAGACAGGGCTGTGGTGGGAAGGCCGTTGGATAAGGTCACCACCAGGACCCCTTCCAGCCCTAGAGTTTGGGCCCCTTTGAGAAGCCAGAGACACTGAGAGCCTGCTGTTCTGGGGAGTCCCCCTGTTGTCCCTATAACTCGGATTACCTCCAGCCTGTCTGTGCTAATCTCAAGAAGACAGGTGGCTCTTTGAAAAATATGTGTATATATGTTAAATTATAAAAGTAACATACTGCATCTCTTGATGACTGCTTATGTTACTGCATCTTTTATTCCAAGAATGCTCCTGGGAACATCCTTATATGTTCATATTTATGTAGAAAGGAGTCTTAGGAGTGAAGTTGTTAGGTCATCTTTAGCATTTTTGGAGCTAAGTGTCAATGCATTGACTTTTAAACTTCAGCAACAACTCTGCACACACTCTCTGTGCCCCTCAGTACATGCAAAGCCCTTCTGGGTAACTCTTCTGACTTCAGAAGAGAGAAGTGTCGGGTTCACATAATTAAAAGAGAATCTCACATCATCAACAATATTTATTTTCTTTGCAGAATCTGCAATTAGATTTTATTGCTTTTGACTAAAGGCCACTGCAGGATTCACAGAACAAAGAATGGTGTGATCTTTATAGGCATTAGAGGATCGAGTGGATTTTTTTTTCCAAGTGGATTTTTTTTTTAATCATAAAAATATGCTGAGCGTGCCTGTTGGTTTACCTATAATGTCTAAAAATAGTTTTCACCTTTATTTTTGGAGCTGTTAGTACATAAAAGAGATATATATTTTTTTTAAAAAAAGTTATGGACATGACTGTATCCGAATGTAGGTAACTTGCTTTTTCTTCAACCGATCTCACATTAATACAATTACAATCATCTGCAAGAAATTTACAGTGACACCTCGCATTGCATGATGCGTTAGTTCTCAGTGTACACAAAGCTTGTGAGAGAAGCCTCTGGGAAAGCCAGGCAGGGCGCTCACCACTGTTGGTTCCGATGAGAACCCCGAGCTTGAGGAGGCTTCAGGGAACTTAGGAAGAGCTTTGGCAGGAGCCTTGTGACTTCTGACTGCAGGTCTGGTGCTCTTTCAAACAGACACTTAAAGCAGAAGAAAAGCAAAGGTGGAACGTTCTGTAGCTCAAGGGTGGCTCCAAGCCCACAGGGCTGGGCTAGAGACTCCAGGGTCTTTTGGTCAGAGAGGTGGACCTGTGGGGACATCAGGCTATAGGGAGGTTTGTAGAGGCCCTCTGCCGTGGAAGGTGGGGGTCGTTTATGGTTCTGTGTGTTTTTTCCTATTTTGAGAAGTGGTGGGAGCGGAAGCAGTCTGTACTGCAGCTCAAGTCTCTGCCCTGGGCTGAAGCCACTCTGAGCATCGGGTCCTCATTGGCCTGGGATGATGAGGATGTGTTCTCAGACCTCCAGGGGAGGTGGTGGCTCCCAGCCTCCAGGGGACAGTGAAGCAGCCCGTTCTTCTCCTGCCCTATTCTCCCCAGCCCTCCTCCCTACCCAAAGCACAGCCCCTTTGCACCTCCCTTCTGTCTCCTTCCACCTTTTAGCAGGAGGCTGAGCCAACAAGAGTCCTGGGTGTGTGGTCCCAGATCTGAGCAAACAGTGTTAACAGAGTCAGGATTTCATTCTTGTCTTCAATTGACACATATTACCAGTACTGCACTGCCCCACCTCCCCCCACCAAGTACTTAGATTTGAATGGGTCCATAAGAGGTCAATGGGACTTCGATTGAGCTGGAGAGACATGGGGACAGAGAAGGGGACTGTGCAGTGTGAGTGTGTGTTCCATTCTGCCTGTGCTCTCCTGCTGCAGGTGACACTGTTCGCCTACTCGGACCTGCTGCTCTTCACCAAGGAGGAGGAGCCGGGCCGCTGCAACGTCCTGAGGAACCCCCTCTACCTCCAGAGTGTGAAGCTGCAGGAAGGTAAGTAAAGGCCTGAGATGCCCTGGACCCCATCCTCACTGGGCTGGAGTCCCTCTGCTTGGGGCAGCATGAATTGGGTACCCATCAGTGGGGTGTGTGATGCACACAGGACAGAGCCATCTGTCTTGGTTTCCATCTTCCTGTTGTGTGTGATAGGCGTGTGGGCTCCTGTGGGGGCTGGCAGTGGTGGTGGGCTCTGTGCCTGGACTGATGGACTCTCTCAGACACTGATCTTCGCTGGGAGGTTGTTCCAGAGACATCCCAGGGAGGCCACGGAGTGGCATAGGAAGAGCTTTGGACTCCAGCAGACTTGTGTTCAAATCTTGGCCCTGTCCCTCACTACCTGTATGGCCTTGGGCAAGTTACTTAATCTCTTTGGGTCTGTTTCCTCATGTATGAGTGGGGATAATAATCACATCTCAAAAAAATCGTTGTGAAGATTAGATTAAATCATCTCTGCAGAATGCCTGGCAAACAACAGATGCCCAGTGAATGCTAGGTACCACCCCAGCCCCACACACATCCTTGGACAAAGAACCCTTGCTCTGTCTCCACCCAGCTGTACCGCCTGGTGGAGTCGAGGAAATTGGAGCATGTACGGTGAGGGGCTGGCGAGCAGTGGGATGTGGGAGCATGAAGTGAATTCCAAACTTCCCATCGTGCCCTCCTACATGCGGGAACGGGAAGGCAGCTGGGAGTATCAGCGAGTGGTTTGGTTTGGCGCCTGAGGTCTCCGCTGAAAGGGGCTCGATTTCCTCTCCCAGATTATGAAAACAACAACAGACCTGTTAGAGCATGGTGACAGAGGCAGGGAGGAAAATATTACCAGTGAAAGAATTCTGTTTTGACGGTTTTTGCTCCAGGAAAACTTCCTGAGTGTTTGCAAACCCATCCTGTGTGCTCGCTGCCCTGGCTAGTCTTCCTCCTTGGAAACTCAGCCAGAGTGAGAAACTCCACACTTGCCTCCCCACAGGAAGTCACTTACAACTTCTTCCTCTGTGGCTCTGACTTTCTCCTGCCCACTGACCAGGGCGGCTGCTGAGGGGAAAAGTGAGTCAGTTTGCTCCGGCCAGCCTGTGCCTCTGGGCTTAGTTGGACCAACGGGCAGGGCTGAGGGGCAGTCCTCTGAGCCACTTCAGGGCTCCCAGCAGGGAGCTCCCTGGCCTGCTGGAGAGAGTGAGCTGGGTGGAGCTCACCAAGGACTCTGCCCTGGGCTTTGCTGCCACCTGTGCGCCTCACCTTGCCCCTGCCCTTCCCTGCACCTCTCACACCCAGCTCCGCCACACTCACATACATATTCCCCTCTCCCCATTCTCTTCTGCACACACTCACACTACCCAGTATCTTCCTCTCTCTCCAGCTCAGACGTCAAGGCCCCATTGATTTCTTCTGCTCTAGCATCCATTCAGATTGGAGGAGTACTGGGGCAGAGACAGTACTTGGTAATATGTGTTGATTGGACAAGAATGGAACCCTTACTGTATCCCTCTGATTCCTCAGGTCTGGGGCCACAAGCCCAGGAAGGTAAAAGAAGAGAGGCTAGTGGCTGTGCTTTGGGTGGGGAGTGGGGTAGGGGAGAAGAGGGCAGCAGTGAAAGAGCCCAAGGTTGGAGCTCTTTGGTCTGGGCTTGGCTTTGCTTCTAATATGTTATGTGACTTCAGCTGGTCCTGCCAATTTTGGGGGCTTCAGTTTCCATGAAATAAGGTTGGGCCAGCTCTTTATATTCTCTCCCAGCTCTGACTCCCCAGATGGACCCCACTGACAGGGTTGCTGTGAGAAGTTGGATGGTGCCCTTACCATCCTGCCCCCACTCCTCAGGGGGCCCTGGACTAGGGGTTGGTCGGACCTTCCCCTCTGGAACCTCTAGACCCAAAGCTTGAAGTTGGAGGCAGGGTGAGCTCCTACCTCCACTGGGTGACGATGGCCAAGGTGGCCGTGTGGGGCCTGGAGGGGCTGCAGAGAAGCCTTCTGGGTACTGAGCTGTGTGTGAGCGGCAGCCTGTGCAGGCATGGCTTCTTGGGCTAGGGCCACTTCCTCTCCCAGCAGATGGTGGGTATGCTAGACGAGGGCTGAGATGACCACAGCCTTCAGAGTGGTTGGGTGGGTGTGGGAGAAGGTATGTGTGTGTACCTGCTTGGGGTTTGTTGGGCAGGCAGTTTGGTGCAGACAAATGGTTTTGCTCTTCCCTAGCACTGTCAGTAAGGAGCCCTGGTGACGCTGTGGTTAAAAAGCTTGGCTGCTCACCAAAAGGTCAGCCTTTTGGACCCTCCAGCCACTCTGCTGGAGAAGATGTGGCGGTCTGCTTCCATAACGATTACAGCCTTGGAAACCCTACGAGGTGGTTCTACTCTGTCGTAGAGTGTCGCCATGAGTCAGAATCAAACTGACCCGAGGGCAGTGGGTTTAGCAGTATCAGTCAGCATACACAGGGAATGGCTCGCCTGAGAGCTGCTGAGGGCAAAGGAAATGGCTCGAGGATACTGAACCCTCAAGGTGCACCTTCCAGTGCTGGATTTCCTTCCAGGTATTGAAGGCACCCTCACCCCCACTCCCCTACTTGTCTGCCACAGGCCTGTGGGTCCCACGGGAATCTGGTGACTGCTTCTCCTGCAGCTGGAGTTGGAGCCGTGAGACCCAGTGTTCTGAGTCCTGGTGCCCAATTCCCTGCCCAGCTCTCCTGTGCCCCAAGGACCTGTGGCTACATCAAGGGCCTGAGTGAAGCTTTTAAGAGATGCATTTGGGGCCTCAGCTGGAGCTTCTATTGGCAGAATGGCTTCTGATTAACGTTGCCCGCGACTCCTAGGTTTCTTGTTTGTCTCTTTCAAGTCAACATGTGTGGAGAGTTCACTTTGGGGCAAAGAAGAAGTAAACAGGGAACACACCCAGCCTTCCCTGCTGGCTGGGGCTGGTGAGGGCTGCTCCCTAGCAGCGGAAGTCTGCCCCACCCCAGGGACCAAGGGCTCCCCGTGTGACTTGTCTGAAGGGTCCTTAGCTCCTCTGACCCAGGGCCCACCTCACATGGAGCACAGGTCATCCTGGGTGCCCACGGAATGTTTATTGGATGAGTGAATGAATGACCGAAAGGAGACCAGAAGTGCTGCCTCAGCTCAGGAGCCAGGCGCACCATCCCCCAGGACTCTTGGCTGGGTGGCCACTTAAACTCTGCCTGCTCTCCTCCAGCCCAGCCTCCTCCAGCCTTCAGAGCTGCTGAATGGCAGTATAATGGGAACAGGCGGAGAGCTAGCGCTAACAATTGGGACATCTCCGGTCAGGTCAGCCTGGGCCCATTGTGGTCTCTTCCTGCCTCTGCCACCTGCTGGCTTTGTAGCTCTTTGTGTTTCTGCTTCCCAGGCGGCCAGCGTCCCACCCACAGCATGTTTTCCTGGCCTGCTCCTGTCTCTCAGGAGTGGTCTGGAAATGTCCAATGGATTCTTGGGCTCCACACTCACCCCGGGGGAGCCAGGTTGCTAATCTTGGGAACTCAGCTGCTTAGGCCCCAGTTGCTGGAACCCTTATAGTTAAAATCTCAGGCAGTATTTTCTGAGCACCTCCTCAGAGCCCACCTTGATGCTGGCCACTGCAATAGCAGTGGAAGAGACACATTTGTAGCCTTCTAGGGCCCATAGCCTGGGCGGATGACAGATGAGTAAACTGGTAGAGGGGGATGAAGTGTGATGCCATAGTCAGGAACCCAGGCTCTGGAGGCACATGGTCCTGGGTTCAAATCTCAGCTCTGCCACTTTCTGTATTAGCTGTACAAACTGTTTTCCTTCCCTGGGCCTCAGCTTTCATATCTGGGGAACGGAGACAATAACCTTCCCAGTTTGCCTCCCAGATAGAGGGGGCTTGGTGAGTGGTTGGGTTTGGGATCCTAGACCAGGGGTAAGATGGCTCTAAAATACACAGAGGGGTCAGACCCAGGCAGAAGTCATCTCTTGGCTCTATCCAGTTCATGGCTTGGGATTCCTTCTACATTGGCCCACACATCCCTTGGTGGGAAGCAAGGCCCCTCTGGAACCAAGTCCCCCGGTTGAATTTCAAAAGGGCAAAGGCAGCTGGACTGCTTAAAGGAATAGCCAGATGTGTGCTGTCCTAGTCCCCTCTCCCTCTGCACAAGCCCCCAGTGCCCGCACACGCTGAGTTAGTCATCTTTTGCCTTAGGCTGGGGATTCCACCTTTTCTCCTGTGGAGGAGGAGCCATGGCAGTCCCTCCCAGTGCCTCTCAGGTAGAGAAAACTCATACCAAACTCCCTGCCATTGAGTGATTCCTAGTCACAGTGAGCCCCATTGGGTTTCTGAGGCAGGACTCCCACTGGGTTTCCGAGTCCGTAAATCTTTACGGAAATAGATTGACCCATCTTCCTTCCGTGGAGCAGCTGGTGGGTTTGAACCACCAGCCTTCTGGTTAGTAGGCAATTACCTTAGGCACTGTGCTACCAGAGCTCCAGGTGGAGAGAGTTTGGCAAATGGTTGGGTTTGGGGTTCTAGACCAGGGCCTCAAAGGCTCTATGGAAACACACAGAGGGGTCAGGTCTGGGCTGGGAAATCATCTCTGGGCTCTCCACTCAGCCTGTGTTTGGGGTTCCCCATGCACTAGCCCACACATTTCTTGTAACAAAGCCTACCCAGGAACTAAATGGCTCCTTGTTGAATTTCATCATGGCTGAGGCAGTTGGATTGTTTAAAGGAGAAGCTAAGTGTCTGTTGCCTGGCTGTCCCCTCATTGCTCACAGCTCATTGCTCAGGGCTCAGGGCAAGGAGGAGGCCTCCCAGCTCCTGGCTGCTTCCCCTGGAGACAGGAGCACAGCATTCCTTGGGCCAGGCTGCCCTGGAGGCAAGGGCCTGATAGCCAAGCATCACCCTGTTTATTTGCTTAGTGGCCTTTGCTCCAGGGGTTTCCCTGCCGTGGGCCGGCTTTCTTCCTCTTTTTTTCAGGAATCATCACGCACCTTCTGGGTGAGACAGCTGGCTTAACCAACTGCTGAGCTTCTTCAGCCGATTCTAATGCACGTTCGGCTTTTTGTTCCCTCAGGTTCTTCTGAAGACCTGAAATTCTGCGTGCTGTATCTCGCAGAGGTGAGTCCTTCCCTGTGAGTTTGAAGAGAGATCTGTGGCCTGGTGCCTTGAGGGAACAGGTTGGGCAGGGTTCCCACACCAGCCTCCATACCAGTGCATGCAGTGGTTCTGGGCATGGCCAGAAAGCCAGTCAACTATTCCCGTAGAGTGGGAAGAGCAGTCTCTGCCCCTGCCTCGCTGACCTCTGTGTAAAACAGCAGAGGACAAGGAGGTGTATAGAGTGGGCAGAAGGCCACTTGTGGTCCCTGCTCAGGGCTGCCTGCAGGGGTCATAATGAGGATGTGGCCTGCCAGCTGTGGTTGTTTATTTAGTGGGCCCCTGGGTGCTGCAGACTGGTTGTGTTGCATTACTAACAGAAAGGTTGCTGGTTCGAACCCACCCAGCTGTGCCGTGGAAGGAAGGCTTGATGACCTGCTTCTACAAACATTTGTTGTTGGTGGTTGTTGTCCGGTAGCTTCCGCCTCACGGCAACCCAGTGTGTACAGAGCAGAGCTACGCCACAGGGCTTTTCAAGGCTGTCACTTCTGGAAGCAGATTACCAGGTCTGTCTTCCAAGGTGCCTCTGGGTGGGTTTGACCGCCACCCTTTCAGGTATTAGTTGAGTAATTAACCATTTGCGTCACTTGGGGACTCCAGGCAAACCCTGTGGAGCTCAGTTCTACTCTGTAGCGTGTGGGGTTGCTGTGAGTTGGAATCGACTTGAAAGAACGGGTTTGCTGTTTTCTTCTCTCTAGAGATTTCTCTGAGTCTCGTGTGTGTCTCGTTCTTCGCTCACGGTCCCTTTCACGTGGTCTTGTCAGAGTTTCAAAAGGCCTGGTGGTAATTGTACCTTTTCCTGAGCTGGATAATACAGGCTAAAGAAAGCATCAAGCGGTTGCGTTTTGGGGCTGGAGTGATGCCCACTCCATGTGATTGATATTCCTAGTTATCTTAGTCTGATCAGAAGCTTGAATGAACAGTGCAGTGCGATGCCTTGACTGAACAAAAATGGGTAAACAACTTATTGCTTCATACAATTTGGTAGATAAAAGAGCATTAAACCAGAGGTTTAATCAGAGATTCTGTGATGAAAATATTGAGGGCCACTGAGCCATACCGATTCATTTCAATTTGCATTGACTTTTCTACTCCCAAGCTTGTGTCTCTGCTAATATATGCAGAGTGGTGTCTGTTCCAAGGGTTCCTTGGACCCACTCCTGCCCTCTGCCTCCTCTCAGATCATTTCACCATTGGGTCTTGAGGACCCATCCTGTGGGACAGTCTATACTGGCCACACCCTAAGGGTGAGGGCCTGGTCTACACAGGCTGGTCAGGAGAGTACAACACCCTTTAGAGAAGGAATCAGTGCACTGCTAGTGATTCCTTCATTTCCTGGCTGAGTCAAGTGATGCGAGACCCGCAATGAGTCTTTTGAACAGACCCATGGGAGAGAAAACAGAGTTGATGAGAAGTTAGCTTCAGGGGAGCGCACAGAGGTCCAGAGAGGCAGCAGAGGTGATCAGAGTAGTGTGTGAGATCCGGGCTGCCCACAGTGCAGAACTAAGGTCCTCACCTGTGTCAGCCACATGGCACACAGGAAGTGGCAGGTGGAGGCGCTTCAAAGGTGAGGGTCTTTGGTTTCACAGAGCTGAGCAAGCAGAAGAACATAGCTTAGGGGAAGCTGTGAGCCGTGCTGGGAAGAGCCAGAGCCCCTGTGCCCTGGAGCAGGCTCCTCTACCCCCCTGCGCTGGGTTCTGAGTCCCTCGGGCAGTGCGTGAAAGGAGACCCAGGTTCTTTAACGCCAAGAAGGCTTCCTGCCAGGCTGGGTTTGTTTTTCCCAGAGAAAAGCACTTCTGCTCCTTTGGTTTCCAGGGAGCTGTGACCTCCTGGCCCTCCAAAGATTAATGAAGGGATATCGATTTGGGGGCCTTTTATTTCAGTGAAGTGCCAGGTGACCTGACTGTGAGGGGCTGGGGGATTGAAGATCACAGGCAGCTCAAAGTTTCTGGTTTCTCTTAATAGATTGTTATTTATAAGGGGCTTGTCTGTAATACAGGGAAGATGTCTGCCTGCTCTGTAGGCTGGGAAATTCTTGACACAGGGAGTATTGGATCCCACGGAAAACCCCAAAGTCACATCTTAGTTGGAACTTCCCGGCATGAATCGTGGAACCCAGAGAAGAAATCAAGAGGAAGAAGCCAGGAGTTGGAGAGGTTTCTACACTCCAAGTTGAGAAAACCCCAGTTGCCTAGATGGCAGCAGTTCTGAGGGTTCCCTAGCTGTGGGGTTCTGCATGGGGCTTTCCTAAGCAGTCTTGGCACTGGGGTTTCTGTTCTTCTGGACAGTTGTCCCTTAGTCCCTGCAAATCCATGCACGGTTGCAGCCCACAACCAACTTCAGAGTCCTGGGGCATTGGGTTGATGGGCACCTCAGTCAGGGCCATTTTATAACTTAGAATCTGATGCTGCCTCCATTGATTTGAGAGCCTGGGTTTTGGAGTTAGACCTAGATTTGAATGTTGGCTCTGCCGTTTCCTAACTAAGCGATCTGGGGCAAGTTACAGGCCCATCTCTGAAATAAGACTATGATGCCTGCCTCACAGTTTTGTCTTTGGGATTCAGTGAGATTCAGTAAGATGCTGGGTCCAAAGCACTTAGTACAGAGCCTGGCACAAGGCAGTGGTCAATACGTGGTAGCTATTATTACTGTCAGCTTCATAGCAAGGGGAAGAGCTTTTCATATTCATTTACTCTCCATTAAAGACATTGCAAATGATTTATTGATCTTTGAAAAGGAAAGCTAAGAGAAACACTGCACATTTTGTAATGTATGTAAAGTTATGCAAATAGAGCAACACCACAGGCTCTGGAGGAGGCAGAAGACAGACTTTGAGTGTCTCCTCACCTGAGATCTGCTGGAGCCAATGACTGAACCTCTCTGAGCCTTAGTTTTTTGTATCTGAAAAATAGTAACAGCAGTGCTTTCCTTCCCTCCTGTCATAGGGTCATTGTTGTCAGGTGCCACTGAGCCAGGTCGATCCCGACTCCTAGTGCCCCATGTGACAGAGGAGGGCTGCCCCATGAGGTCTTCTTGGCTGTAATCCTTATAGAAGCAGGTCACCAAGGCTTTCTCTCACAGGAGCCACTGGGTGGGTTTGAATGGCTAGCATTTCAGTGAAGAGCCGAGTGCGTAACCATTGCACCACCAGGAATTTTTATAGGGTCATTAGGAGAATGGAATGAAATGTTAAAGCAAGTGCACACACTTAAATCATAGCAAAAGAAGTTTTGGTTTTTACGAAACTAAAATTAATTCAGGAACAAGGAAGTGAGGCAAGATGAGCGTGCTGGGTGTCTGGTTGGATTTGGGGTACCCTGTTTCAAGGCAGAGGGCTGGGCCCTTTGTGTGTCTGGGGCCTGTGCATCTGGAGAACTTGGTGCTAGGTGACCACCTGGGTACTGAGGGCACAATGTGCATCAGCTTTGAAGCCAATCAGGTGATCAGTTGAACCACACGCTGGGTTAGGAGAGCAGGTGCACACACAGAGGAACCAGGCTGACAGTGGGGGTCCTGGCTTCAGACACCTGGACAGACGGGTAGCTGGACAGTGCCCCGGGAGGTGGGAATTCAGCCTACCTGCAGGGCACTGGCTTAGAGCTCTCTCTACAGTCAGGCCAGTCTCCAAAGCTCCAGGCACACTTAGAGAGGAGCCTTGGGAATAAAGGCTTCCCAAAACACATTTGCCTGTGTAAGGCAGCCAACAGTTAAGTGCTCGACTACTACCCGAAAGGTTGGCAGTTTGAATCCATCTCGAGGTGCCCGGCAATCTGCTCTGAAAGGTCACAACCATGACAACCCTATGGAGCAGTTCTACTCCACACACACCGGGTCGCCATGAGTCAGGATCGACTCTACAGCAACTAGCAGTAACATCTGAGGCAGCACTTCCCTGCCCTGGGCCACACCGGGGTTTTGGTCCTTGATTCTTCAGAAGTGGTCCTCTGGCCTCACCAGGACCTTCAGCCTCAAGCTCCCAGAGCCAGAGAGCCAGCCCTGGGTGGAGAAATTGGATTTTCAAAGGAGAGTCTTCATGAAATGTGGCAAGGATGGTTCTTACGGGTGTCAGTAAAATGGGGATAGTCACAACGTCTGCCTTACAAGGTTGTTGGAAGAAATATCAAGACAGATCAAAGTGCGGAGTGCTATGTGAAACATGGAGCCTGAGGGGGCTGACTCTGGGATGGGAAGCCGACAGCTCTCTTGCTGTGAGGCCCGCCCAGCGTGGGGAGGCTTTCTTATACATTTGCAAGAGGGGCCGCCAGCCTGGAGCTCAGAGCAGGGATGCTGTACCAAAAGCTGCCAGTGGGCTCAGTAGCTGCTCTGAAGCCTACTGGCCCATAGAGTTTCCTCTGAAGGATTTTGCCCTCTGGTTACCTCCAGGCTCTGGTCTGCACGGGAAAGCATTGCTGCCAGTCAGTGATGTGGGGGCTTCTGAAGAGACCTCCCCAGACTCTGGAGATGAAATCCTGGCAGCTGGTTCTCCAAATGGTTGAGTCTTCCCTGTGCCGCTCACTGGCAATGCAACTTCACGGAGGCTCTTAGACACTCAGAGCCTTTGTTTTCCCATCCATCAAATGAGAATTACAATCCCTGCCCTCCCTACTTCTTCATGGAATTTTTAAGATCAAAATGAGATCATGGATGGGAAAATCCTTTTTCAAATTGATAATTAGAGAAAAAGAATTCTCACAAAGGTGGGATTTTAGCTTCAGAATAGAGAGAGAGGTGGAAATTGAGGCTCAGGGAAGTTGAGGGCTTTGTTGAAGTCCACACAGTTAGGTAGAGGCCGAGCTGGGAGGCTTGGGCCAGGACTGGCTTTATGGTGTGGTACTCTTTTCAAGCTGCGAGGGACATAGGTCCCGCCTCACCCCTCCCTTCACAGGGAGGAATAAGACAAGATAGTGAGCAGCAGCCACCCTGCTCAGATTCCACCCCACTGCCTTCTCCCGGGGGACTCTTGGGGTCTTTTATAGAGTGTGCCCTTTCCCTGCATGGGCAATGGGTTCTGGGAAGTGGAGATAACCTCTTAAGTGGTAGCTCCAGGACCGCCTCTCCATATCCACCCAGTTCTCTGAAGCCAAGGGGTGGGGTTTTCTTCCCTCTCTCCTTTGATGCTTTTAAGAAGATCCACTTCTGAGTACTGAGGTATGGCAGGCACCCTGGACCACTTAGCCCAAGAAGGTGGCCCCACCCTGAGGGCATCCCTGAGGATTGGGTTTGGATGGCAGGTCAGAAAATGTCCCCACGTGCTGTGAGGTATTACTGGTAACCACCCCCTGCTCAGAGCCTTTCCATTTGCTGCTCCTTCTGCCTGGAAAAAGTCTCCCCACGTACTTTGCATAGTGGCTCCTCCTTATTGTTTGGGTCTCAGCTCAAGTGTCACCTCTTCAGAGAGGCCTTCTCTGACCACCTTGCCCAAGTAGGACCTCTTCCATTGTGACTTTCATGGCATTTACACAGTTTGTAACTATGTCATTTATCTGGTTGTATATTTGTTGTCTCTGCTCCCAACCTGAAGGCAAGGGTTGTCCTTAGTCTGTCTTAGTTACCTCTTTATCCCCAAGGCCAAGTACAGTCCTTGACACACAGCAGAGGATCAATACCTATTTTTTAAAGGAGTGAATTTTAGTGAATCATAACAATGGCTCCTGTCTGTTGAGGGCTGCGGTTGTCTTTGTTGCTTGCCTTCCCAGTAGCTCTATAAAGTAGGTGACACCATTATCACCCCCATTTTACAGAGTTTTGGAATTCCTGGAAGTCAACAGCTAGGAAGATGTAGAGCTGGGCTTTAGATCAGGCCTGTCTAATTAGAAAACATGGAAGGCCTGGATGGAAACAGTCTCTTTTGTCTGTTCCACACCATCCTGCTTATGCTCCTGGCTCTCTGGCTGAGCTCATCTAATTGCAGCCCTGTGGGTGTTATAATCAGATTCCAGTGGAGTCAGAAAGCCTTGTAATCTCTTGATCAGAGCCTTCTGGTAGGTGATAACCAGGACTTTGAACAGGTTCTTCCCAGTTCAGTCATGGCTGATGAAGTGAAACTAGAACAGGCCCGAATTTGTAAAATATGGGTGAACCAGAACAATAACTGGAGTGGGAAAAATAATGGGTTGGTGCCCTGCTAGAAACTGAATCTCCCTCTTAGAAAACAAGGGCAGCGTTCATATTGAATAACAACTAAATCTCTTGACCCGCAGAGTTAGAAACAACGGTGCTCTACTCGAAGATGGTGGCTGACTGCACCACTTTGAATGTGTGTCGTTCTTCGCAGTCCTGGTAATAATCCAGTCTGTCAGCCTACTGAAAGGGCTCACCATGCCTCTTCCAAGTCTCCCATTCCAGGGCTTCGACCAGCAGTCATTTCCATTCTGGCTATCATTCAGCTTACTCAAATTTTAAAAATTTGTGTCTGTTCTGATTTTGCTTCATCGGCCATGACTGAACCAATTTGAACTGGTTTGAAGCCCTGGTGATAACACTGGGCATGCTGCCCGATCCCACCCTGTCCCCAGCACCATCTGACGGCTACGTGGCTGAGCCCCTGCGTCCTGGCAGCTCCCTGGGCTTGTGCCAAAGCTGGCCTGGATTTGACCTCATATTAGAAATTGCTCCAGGCAGCCAGAGATTACCCAGGCCACTATGTGCCAAGCACTGTGCTGAGCACAGATGAAAAAGGCCTCCATAGGAAGAGTTTACAGTCTAATCGGGGGGACAAGACTGTAGCACTTAATTAACAATGTTAAACAGCCAAAAGAAACCCCTCAAAAAAACCTCATTGCCTTGGAGTCAGTTCTGACTCATACCCACTATTGCATTACCCAACAAGCAAGGTAAGCATGGGTTTACTTGTGCTTAGTTATTCACCTGTAGTGCACAATCTCCCATCAAAGATTCTGCTTCTTAGCATGGCTGGCATCTATCTCTCCCTCAACCCCACAGCACCTTCCTAGAGAATCAAAGCCTCTATTCAAATTTATAATCCCTGACAGAGATAGAGTAATTACTGGGTAATCCACCCCTGCTCATAGTGACCCTATAGGATGAGTGGTTTCTAAGTCTGGAATCTTTATGGAGGCAAACTGCTACACCTTCCTCCCGTGGAGCAGCTGGTAGATTCAAACCACTGACCTTTCGGTTAGCAGCTGAGTGCTTTAATCACTGTACCATCCAAACCCCAAAACCAAACCCAAAGCCATCAAGTTGATTCTGACTCATAATGACTTTATAGGACAGAACAGAACTGTCCCGTAGGATTTCAAGGCTGTAAACCTTTTAGAAGCAGACTGTCACATCTTGCTTCCATGGAGCGGTTTATGGGTTTGAACCACTGACCTTTTAGTTGGTGGCCAAGTGCTTTAACCACTGTGCCACCAGAGCTCCTTAAATAGCAAATTGAGCTTTAAATGACAGCAGTGCCAGAGGTGTTGCTGCTCTCAAGTGAGCTGAACAGCCATTGATCAGACACAGGTCACATGCCAGGCCCTGGGGAGGCTACTGAAGGCCTCATGACTCTGCTCACCAAAGACGTCCTAGGGGGACCAGAGGTGCTGCTGGGGTCCATCCATGCATCTGGTCTTGTGTATCAGCCTTAGGATTAGTTGAGTATGTGAGGTGGAGAAGGTGGGGTCTGGACTCTGGTGGAGGGATCCTGTCTCCACAGAGCCTCAGCCCAAGACCTTGGCCTTCTGGATTCCCCAGTTACTGCCTTGTGCTGCCTGCCCCCGGGGGTGACCTCACCATCTCTCCACAGGCCTCCACTGTGCTGGGAACCACTGGCCTGCTTCCCCTCCCCCAGCCCATGGGCACCACGGCTCGCCAGCTGGCCCCTGAACTGTTCTCCCAGCTCCTCCGGCTGCCTCAGTGCCACCAGGGATTAGTGTGCATTCGTGGCTTTCAGCTGGTGCTCCCCGCCCTGCTGCGGCCTCACCCTCTGGAGCCCAGGGATGGGCTTGGGCCAGGGAGCCCCCGAACCAGGGAGCAGTCCTGACTCTCTCTTTCTCTGTTTTCTCTGACGTCAGAAGGCAGAGTGCTTATTCACTTTGGAAGCACACTCGCAGGAGCAGAAGAAGAGAGTGTGCTGGTGTCTGTCGGAGAACATCGCTAAGCAGCAACAGCTGGTAGCGTCGCCCTCGGAGAGCAAGGTAAGGATCTTGCCAGCGGCCGCAGGCTGGGCTGCCCTGCTTCCCCGCTGCCAGCCTGGACCCTCGAGCCTCTGAATGGAGCCTGGGGCCAGCCCAAGCCTAGAACTTGGAACTGGGCAAGGAGCTCTTGGCAAGAGGGCCTGTGCTTGAATGTCTTGCCCCCTTGGCATTTCCTGGGTCCACTGAGTGGGTTTCATATTGCTCTGTAGAGCGACAGAGCCAAAGTGAGCATGACCCATCAATTCTCAACTCTGTTCTACGGTTGCCCTTGGCAAGGCTGAATTTGGGCTGGCCTCCCTGCTGCTGCACTGGGCCCAGGGATCCCACACTGGTGTTTAACATGGAACCAAGGCAGACATAACTGGGAGGGGATGTTTGCTGCAGTAGTGGTTACAGTTCAATGCAGGCCAGAGCCAAGTGGAGCTGAGTGTGGACTGCGGGGGGCCGGGGAGCAGCCAGGCTGACTGGAACCCAGCTGAAGCGCCAGGGGAGATTAGAGACACCCGTGGAGGCTGACGTGCGGTGGGCACCGCTCAGCTGGCATGCCCATTGTCCAGTGGCCTGGACCACAGCCACTCCCTCTGATATCCTGGTGCCAGTGCCAGGCACAGTTATATTTCCCCATTTGTAAGTCATCCAGGTCTCTTCTCTTGCTGAAAGTGCTGGCCATTCTGGAACTTGGTCTATCTGGCTGCACAAGGAGCCAAGGTGGTCGCTGTACTGGATCTGGGGCGAGAGGCTGCGTGAAGAACGTGAGCGGCTGTGCAGCGGTTTGCTGGCTTATTGCTTTCTCCTGACGTGTTGAGACTTGCCGTGCTGAGCTCAGTAGGCACAGGGAGTGCACAGTGGGAGATAGGCCTACTGAGGGCAGGAGGTGGGGAAGAGGTGGTGGGACAGCCTCTCCTGGAGGGTCAGCGGTGGACAGCAGCTCCCCAGTGATTTCCTGAGGGAATAAGACTCTGAGGACTCTATGATGTTAGGCTTCAAAGTTAGCTTGTTTCACACTAGCCAGGGGGCAGGCATAGCTGTGATGAGGAAAAGTGGTGGGACGAGCATTAGTTCCACCACTGCCTGGCAGGTGACCTTGGTCAGGTCACTACACTGCTTTGTGTTTTGATGTCCCCATCCATAATCTGGGGACAACCCAAAGGGTTGTTGTGAAAATTAAACGTGTTGGTGCCTATGGTGTCCTAGCCTGGTGCCTGGCACACAGATAAATACTCGACCGATCATCCTTAGCTGTGGGAGTGTACTCGTCCCATCCTCAAGTTCTGAGCAGAAACCTGCTTCTACCACTGCGGGCCACCTCATCCCATAGGCCCTAGGCTGGTCACAGTCAGGTGCCAGTCTGTTCACTAGGCAGCCTCTCGGATGGTGCAGGGCTGAGCTGGTGTGTCTCCCCACTTTCTGTTCCTTGGACTTAGCCCCTTCTGGTCTGGGTCTGGAGGACTTCGTGCTGGCTCTGGAGTGTGTCGGCCAAGCCGGCTCAGTGCTTCGGAAAATGTCTCCATCTTTGGGTTCCAGGGGCAGTTTGAAGGACTGAATGACTGAAGGTGGGCTGGAATCTGAGACAGTCTTGGGCTCATGTAGACTTACACACTTGGCTGGCTGGCTCTCCGAGGGGCCGAGGAGGATGGGGCCTGGCTTCAAGGCCACCTCAAGATGTCTGGGGACCCTGGGCAGCAAAAGGTTAGGCACGTCTTCAAATCAAAGTTCTTTAAACATGTATTTAATGGAGAAGCTGTGTGCTGGGCAGGGGGCGGGGCGGGGAGGGTGAAGAGGAAGGTTGTGTCTGCTGGGACAGCCTCAGAATATCCTTGTTGCCCTGAGAATGGGGCCCTCCCCTGCACTTGCAGCTTCCACTGGGCCCACCTTCCTTAGAAGTCAGTCTTGTTACCACCTTTTGTTAGGCAAATCCTTTGGGGGTTTCGTTGTCCAACTTCCTCTTCCCCACTTCCAACATACACACTTAAGGAGTTTTAGCAACTTGTTCCTTCCAACCACTTAGAATGCTCCCTGAGAGAAGTTGTGGTGAGTATGATTTTCTCTAGCACTTTATGGTTCCAGGACTGTTTTAGTGCCTGGGCCCAGTTTGGGGTCCAGCTGGCCCACCCTGTCATCCACTTGTGCTCAGCTCCAATAGGTCCAGGCAGCCTTGAGGTGACCATGGACCTCCTTCACAAGGGCCAGGCCACAGCCTTTTCACTCAGGTCACTGCTGTCCGGAGGAGGATAGGGAAGGCCAAGCAGATCTCAGAGACAGGCCTCTTGCTTCCCAGGCATAAAGGGTCCTCCTTGACCAATTCGTCAGAGTCCTGACTGAATAGCACATCTTTTTACATCTTTTCTTTGTTCTTTCTGTGACGGCTCCACCTTTTGCTGAACAGTGGAAAACACCGTCTAAGCCCTCCCTGCCCCCAACTCAAACACCTGGCTTGGGAAAATGGGGCTTGCAGGGCAACTCTTTAAACATCTGAAAGAATGCAAAATTCTCCCCAAGTTTGCAAGACATAATAAGTATGATTTGCCTTGAAAGTGAAAAGGATGCTTGTTGGGCAGGATGGAAGGAGTCGGAGGGGGATGCAGTCGAGAACGGAGGGAGGCAGGTGTGCCATCACCTGCCTTTGTGGTGTGTGTGACCTGGCGATCACTTCCGGCTGCAGCCTCAGTGATCCCCTCATGCATCAGTCAGGTGGCCCCTCCCAGCTCTTCAAAGCCTTGTGATGGTCAGGAAAGCTGAGGGCCTGGGCTCGCCTGGTCTCCATTAGGGACCTATACACAATAGATTTCTGCACAAAGTGAATAGCTATAAAATCTGCTGCCTTTGGAAGTTAGGTCTGTTTCCTTTTGGGTGTGTGTGGTGGGGGGGCAGGCCCAGGCTTTTCTGCACGGTCTCTGAGGCCTTGTAGTGTGGAATCCCAGCTGTGACAGGGGGGCACAGTGAGGCAGACGGTAGCCAGGCTGCCTCTCTTCTCTGGCAGCTCCCTTCCCTTCCCCTTACTTGCTCTGAGCTGACTACAGTAAGTAGGAGGCTGCTCCGGGTAGGCCTGCATGCTCTCTCTTTCTGTGGAAATAAATAACCCGCTTGCTCTCCTCTCCCATCTCCCCCTCCCTCTTTCTCATCAGAATTCTACCCTCTCCCTCGCTTCATTACTTATTATCCCTGGGCTCCGTCTACTCTTATTGTTCTGCCTGCGAAAATCTGAACTAAACTGCCTGCCACAGGAGTGGTGCTGCTAATCTAGGATAACCCAGAGGGGGTCCTACCTCTGACCACTGAGGTTTAAGCTAACAGGCACAGCCAAAACCAAAACTGTTGCTGTCGAGTCAATTCCAACCCATGATGACCCCATGTTTTACAGAGTAGAACAGCATAGGAGTTTCTTGGATGTAAACTTTGTGGAAACAGATTGCCAGACCTTCTTCTGTGGTACCACTGGGTAGGCTAGAACTGCCAACCTTACACTCGTAGTAGAGCAAACCATTTGTGCCGAAACAAAACAAAACAAAAAACCCAAACGCACTGCTGTCAAGTTGATTGGACTCATAGCAACCCCTCCTTGGGTTTCTCTATGGAAGTGGATTGCCCAGTCTTCCTTCCAAGGAGTGACAGGTGGGTTGAACCGCCAGCCTTCCGGTTAGCAGTCAAATGCCTTAGGCACTATGCCACCAGAGCTCCTACGATTTGTGCCATATTCAACCAAAGCTAGATAATAAGTCCCTGCTGTGGGGCAGGCACTAGTTTAGGTCACTTGGGGTCACAGAAATGAATGAGACTTGGTCCCTGTCTTTAGTGGAATTCTTCTTCTAATTGGAAAGAGGTGACAAGGGCACCAGAGTGTCAAGCTGAGCCTCGAAGGCCGTGCATGCTTGGTCCTGAGAGTGGTACGTGCGGTGTAGGCTGTACACCATCCACTCAGTGAATCTGTGCTGAGCACGCACCATGTTCACAGCATCGGGATCTGCCTTGGAAGAGTAGGCTGCAAGCCCAGACCTCCGAGGTGAGAAGGGAGAGTGTAGTGCAGTGGGTACTGCCCCCACACTTGGGCCAGAGCTTGAGCTTGATGTCAGGAATAGAGATGAATCTGTCATCAGCAATCATTAAACAAACAAACAAAACAAACCCACTGACACTGAGTCGATTCTGACTCATAGCTACCCTCATTGGGTTTCCGAGGCAGTAAATCTTTACGGAAGTAGATTACCCAGTCTTCCTTCCAAGGAGTGGCTGGTTAGCAGTCAAACGCTTTAGGTAGCTCGCCACGAAAGCTCCTTAGATATGGCAACAGAGAGTTCAAAATAACCCAGTAAGTGGTATCACTCTGTGATCTCAGCTTAGCCTCTTTGAGACTCAGTTTTTTCATCAGTAAAGTAGATGGAATATGGTCTTGTGAGGATTGAGTTTACGTAATGTGCTTAGCAAAGTGTCTGGTGCACGAGAAGCTTTCTGTGGACTAGCTGCTGTCATCACCATCGCCATCACCATCATTTTTAAGTGATGTCTATATAGGAGGATTCATCCGATGGCCTTGCTTTTTGAAGCTGAATGCAGCCACTCTGAGCAAATGTGAGATGACTGCTCCCTGTCGATTCCTGGTGACCACTTTCTGTATTCCAAGGCCTGGGCAGGGACACTGAGGCCTCCTGGGTCTGCTCTGGCTGTAAGACTTCTCCCATATGTGGCACTGAGATGCATGCCACCTTGTCATCTCTGCTGGGGCAGTTATAGATGGGCTGGAGATGTCAGGGGCTGTCTGAGTGCCTTAGAAAGGAGCAGAGGCAGGTCCTGGAGTGAGGCCGCTCTGGCCAGAGTAGACAGCAAGCTAATTCCAGTTCTGTCTGGTTCCACAGAAACTCCACCCTTACGGCTCTCTCCAGCAGGAGATGGGGCCAGTCAACTCAACCAATGCCAACCAGGATAGAAGCTTTACCTCATCAGGACAGACTCTGATTGGCTGAGCAAACCCAAGGGCGGGACTCTGCTTCTGGCAACTTAACCCT